CTCTTTCTGACCAATTACAGTCAAATGTATGAATCCATTTACCTCTGTAATTCTAAGCATGTGCTCCAGATGAACTAATAGAAGGGGAATTGAACACAAAAGAATAGGAATTGAAGTGTATGGAAGAGAATAGTGGAGGAATTGAGGATAATAATCAAAATGGAATGGAATGGAAGGGAATATATGAGGAATTGAAGACATCGGTAGACAACATTGGAAGAGGAAGTGATGACAATCCTCTACAGTTGATGAAAAAGAAGAGAAAATTAAGAGAAGCGGAAGCAAGTAGAATAAAAGGAATTGAAATGTAAAGGAGAGAAATGTAAAAGTATAGAAGAGGAATTGGAGAGTATAGAAAAGAAAGTGAAGAGTATAGAAAATGAATTGGAGAGTATAGAAAACAATGTGAAGAGTATAGCAGAGAAATTCAAGAGTATAGAAGAAGAAAAAAAATCGGCAAATATAGAAGAGGAATTGAACATATGACTGAGTCTGTTACGTCCCATCGGGGACACAAAGTCACTCAAAACTAATTGCCAGTTGACATTAGATCTCAGGGAAAGTGACAACAATGGCCACAAACAGCTTCATTAGCCAACTAGTTTCAGTCTGTTACAAAGAGAATAGAGGTGGGAAAGAAGGAAGTTAGGTGAGAAGAAAAAGCACACCTCCAAACACTGCTAGAAGACATGAGAGCAGACAGAGAGAGTCAGCAAAAAAATAGGTAAGCTTGGATTAATTATATGCAGCTTAGTTTTATTCAGTGTTCTTTCAGTGTTCAATGTTCCAATGTTATTAGTCATAGTTTTAGCTACAGTGCATTCGGAAAGTATTCATACCCCTTGACTTTTTCCACATTTTGTTACGTTACAACCTTATTCTTAAATTGTTTTTTCCCCCTCATCAATCTACACACAATAACCGATAATGGCAAAGCAAAAACAGGTTTTTAGAAATTTTTGCAAATGTATTAAAAATAAAAAACTGAAAAATCACAATTACATTAGTATTCAGACCCGTTTCTCCCAATCCTCTCAAGCTCTGTCAGGTTCAATGGGGAGCGTTGCTGCACAGCTATTTTCAGGTCTCTCCAGAGATCTTCGATCGGGTTCAAGTCCAGGCTCTGGCTGGGCCACTCAAGGACATTCAGAGACTTGCGTTGTTTTAGCTGTGTGCTTAGGGTCGTTGTCCTGTTGGAAGGTGAACCTTTGCCCCAGTCTGAGGTCCTGAGCGCTCTGGAGCAGGTTTTCATCAAGGATCTCTATGTACTTTGCTCTGTTCATCTTTGCCTCGATCATGACTAGTCTCCCAGTCCCTGCCGCTGAAAAACATCCCCACAGCATGATGCTGTGATGATGACCTTATACAGACACGTGTGTACCTTTCCAAATCATGTCCAATCAATTGAATTTACCACAGGTGGACTCCAATCAAGTTGTAGAAACATCTCAAGGATGATCAATGGAAACAGGATGCACCTGAGCTCAATTTCGAGTCTCATAGCAAAGGGTCTGAATACTTATTTAAATGTGTTTTTTAGTTTTCTATTTTTAAAACATTTGCAAAAAATTCTAAAAACCTGTTTTTCGCTTTGTCATTATGGGGTATTGTGTGTAGATTGATGAGTTTGAAAAAAATGTGTATCCATTTTAGAATAAGGCTGTAAGGTAACAACATTTGGAAAAAGTCAAGGGGTCTGAATACTTTCCGAAGGCACTGTATGTAGGCTTAGTCTATATCAGTAGCCATACCGACTATTAATCTTTATATATTAATTAATCTCCATGCGAAGCAGTCGAAAGGTCTCAAACCCTCTCTGACAACAATGGCTGCATCAACCAGGACCTGAAACTGCAAGACCACCACTCTGCACCAGGTACAGGTGGTCTCCGACTGCCCCTCCATTCGTGCCTGCCCTACCTGTGGCCAATTGGTGTAGCACGACAAGACCGGCTGCAAGAATGTTCTCTGCATTAAAAACTTCTGCTTTGTGTGTCTGATGCTCACACCTGAGTGCCTGACGACTGCCAGATATTTCATAACCTGCTCTGAGGGAGTGGCTCCTACACTCTTAGAAAAAAGGCGCTATCTAAAGCCTAAAAGGGTTATTCGGTTGTCCCCATAGGAGAACCCTTTGAAGAACCATTTTTGTTTCCTGGTAGAACCCCTTCAGTTCTATGTAGAACCTTTTCCCCAGAGGGTTCTACATTGAACCCAAAAGGGTTCTCCTATTGGGACAGCCGAGGAACCCTTTTGGAACCTTTTTTTTAAAGTGTAGGAAGACCTCTACACCCATCTGGTACAGAAACTAAGATATACATAGCTTTCATTCCAGTCATGGTAGGCACACTCCATGGTATTCACACCCCATGTTAGGCACACCCTATAACCAATTATGAATATAACAGTGATGGAATATGTATGTTAAAACCCTTTTACAATAAAATTAAATTGACATGTTTCCTAGAGTCAGATTAATATAAATCCCAGTTCTGAAACCTTTATTGCTAAACCCTAAATGTAAAGTTCACTTTCGTCACAAAGCAGCTCAACTTTTCAACCTATCTTCAAATAGCCACCCTTTGCCTTGATGACAGCTTTTCACACTCTTGGCATTCTCTCAACCAGCTTCACCTGGAATGCTTTTCCAACAGCGTTGAAGGAGTTCCCACATATGCTGAGCACTTGTTGGCTGCTTTTCCTTCACTCTGCGGTCCGACTCATCCCAAACCATCTCAATTTGGTTATGGTTGGGGGATTTTGTAGGCCAGGTCATCTGATGCAGCACTCCATCACTCTCCTTCTTGGTAAAATAGCCCTTACACAGCCTGGAGTTGTGTTGGGTCATTGTCCTGTTGAAAAACAAATGATAGTCCCACTAAGCCCAAACCAAATGGGATGGCGTATCGCTGCAGAATGCTGTGGTAGCCATGCTGGTTAAATGTTCCTTGGATTCTAAATAAATCACAGACAGTGTCACCAGCGAAGCACCCCCACACCATCACACCTCCTCCTCCATGCTTTACGGTGGGAAATACACATGCTGAGATCATCTGTTCACCCACACCGCGTCTCACAAAGACACAGCGGTTGGAACTAAAAATCTCCAATTTGGACTCATCAGACCAAAGACACATTTCCACCGGTCTAATGTCCATTGCACGTTTTTCTTGGCCCAAGCAAGTCTCTTCTTATTATTGGTGTCCTTTAGTAGTGGTTTCTTTGCAGCAATTCGACCATGAAGGCCTGATTTACGGTCTCCTCTGAACAGTTGATGTTGAGATGTGTCTGTTACTAGAACTTTGTGAAGCATTTATTTGGGCTGAAATTTCTGATGCTGGTAAAGCTAATTAACTTATCCTCTGCAGCAGAGGTAACTCTGGGTCTTCCATTCCTGTGGCAGTCCTCATGAGAGCCAGTTTCATCATAGCGCTTGATGGTTTTTGCGACTGCACTTGAAGAAACTTTCAAAGTTCTTGAAATGTTCCAGATTGACTGACCTTCATGTCTTAAAGTAATGATGGACTGTCGTTTCTCTTTGCTTATTTGAGATGTTCTTGTCATAATTTGGACTTGGTGTTTTACCAAAAAAGGCTATCTTCTGTTTACCACCCCTTTCTTGTTACAACATAACTGATTGGCTCAAACGTATTAAGAAGGAAAGAAATTCCACAAATTAACTTTTAAGAAGGCACACCTGTTAATTGCAATGCATTCCAGGTGACTACCTCTTGAAGCTGGTTGAGAGAATGCCAAGAGTGTGCAAAGCTGTCATCAAGACAAAGGGTGGCTATTGAAGAATCTGAAATATAAAATATATTTGTTTAACACTTTTTTGGTTACTACATGATACCATATGTGTTATTTCATAGTTTTGATGTCTTCACTATTATTCTACAATGAAGAAAATAGTAAAAATAAAGAAAAACCCTTGAATGAGTAGGTGTTCTAGAACTTTTGACCGGTAGTGTATATATATATTTGTATTCCCAATCATGTGAAATCCATATATAAGGGCCTAATGAATTTATTTCAATTGACTGATTTCCTTGAACTGTAACTCAGTAAAATCAAAGATTTTTTATAACTAACCAAAGAAAGCCCACAGCCTGTCATTTCCAATGGCAACAAGTGAGTCACAGTGGGCAGAACAAGGGGCCAGTATGAAAAATGTATGCACTCACTAATTGTAAGTCGCTCTGGATAAGAGCGTCTGCTAAATGACTAAAATATAAAATGTCAACAAACAAGGAGGTGGGCAGAGCCAAAAACGAGCTAACGAAATCCTATTGGAACATTTGCATATTTCCATTAGGGGACGCCTACTCTGATCGCAATAACTAAATTCAATTTCTGAAACTTTCGTAAAGGGTAAAGTCTACAAAACGTAGTCCACTCTGTTCGTAACATATTCTACTTTTGGGAACAGAAAATTGTATTGAGATAAAATATTTTATCGATGAGAAAATGTGCAGAATGTTGGCCAAAATCCATCTCTTTCCATCTTCTCCCACTGCCGGCCACTGGGCTTCCTTTCACTACCATATTTGGTAGTGAGTAGAAACGCAAAGTGGATGCTTCACATTTATACATCCGGTGAAATGTCTGTCTTATTGTTCTGTGGTAAAATCTTAGAAATTGTTGCGTTTATATTTTTGTTTAGTGTATTTTCTAATAATAAAGGACTTCCATCATAATATCTTCATACTACAACACTGGAAAGTTACAGATAAAAAACAGTCTTGACTAAAAAACTTGACAGGTGAAGAGAGAAAACGAACTAAATTAGCCTCTTGTACAAATATACCTAACTTACTGTCTTTCTCTTTGAAAGTTTCAATACATTTTAATTATTTAATAGTAAGATCCATATCGGCCTACATAGATTTTGTGTGAATAAAATATACCAATTATTTAGCTAGTTTCCATTCATTTTTTAACTATTTCATTTTTTGATAACGTGGTTTGTCCATTTATACTTTCCGTACCAGCGTTTGTTTCACTAACAATTCCAACATGGCTGCGATCAGGAGTGGGGTGACCCCGGTTTCTCAAACGATATGTTTTTTAAGACAAGCTGGAAGACAAAGTCTGGGCAACCATTCACTTACAGAGAGATGGAACCAGGTTTGAGTTGTTCATGTCTTTGTGCTGTTGAATTCATGTGTTAGTCTGACAGCAAGCGTTAACAGTGATTCTAAACAGCACGCCCAACTTCGTGCATGGCTCTGTGACTTTGAGTCAATGTTGAGCTAACGTTAGCAGGTAAGTGAATTAGCCTAAACTTTTCTATCAAATATCTACATGCCACACAAAGGATATAAGATTGTAGCTACGTATGTATGGCTATAACATTGTTGGTAACTGTCCGGTCCAACTGTCTGCATACACAAGTTGTCATGTTCAGACAGTTATGTATGACATGTTAGTTACACATCCATCCCCTGAAATAAAAGAACCCATACATTTTCCATAGGCATAAAATGTTTATTTAGCTCAAATTTTGTGAAGAAAATGTTTTTACATCCCTGTTAGTGAGCATTTCTCATTTGCCAAGATAATGGATGGTGGCATATCAAGAAGCTGATTAAAGAGCATGGTCATTACACAGGTGTACCTTGTGCTGGGGACAATAAAAGGCCACTCTAAAATATGCAGTTTTGTCACCCAACACAATGCCACAATTTTCTCAAGTTTTGAGGGAGCGTGCAATTGGCATGCTGACTGCAGGGATGTCTACCAGAGCTGTTGCCAGATAATTGAATGTTAATTTCTCTACTATAAGCTGCCTCCGACGTCATTTTAGATAATTTGGCAGTACGTCCAACCGGCCTCACAACTGCAGACCACGTGTACGCCGTTGTGTGGGTGAGCACGTGTACGCCGTTGTGAACAGAGTGCTCCATGATGGCGGTGGGGTTATGGCATGGGCAGGCATAAGCTACGGACAATGAGCACCATTGCATTTTATCGATGGCAATTTGAATGCACAGATACCGTGACGAGGTCCTTAGGCCTGTTGTCCTGCCACTCATCTGCTGCCATCACTTCATGTTTCAGCATGATAATGCAGAGCCCCATGTTGCAAGGATCTGTACACAATTCCTGGAAGCTGTAAATGTCCCAGTTCTTCCATGGCCTGCATACTCACCAGACATGTCACCCATTGAGCATGTTTGGGATGCTCTGGATCGATGTGTACAACCGCGTGTTCCAGTTCCCGACAATATCCAGCATCTTAGCACAGCCATTGAAGAGGAGTGGGACAACATTCCACAGGCCACAATCAACAGCCTGATCAACTCTGTGAAGGAGCTGTCGCGCTGCATGAGGCATTTGTACACTGCTCAAAAAAATAAAGGGAACACTTAAACAACACATCCTAGATCTGAATGAATGAAATAATCTTATTAAATACTTTCTTTACATAGTTGAATGTGCTGACAACAAACTCACACAACTTATCAATGGAAATCAAATGTATCAACCCATAGAGGTCTGGATTTGGAGTCACCCTCAAAATTAAAGTGGAAAACCCCACTACAGGCTGATCCAACTTTGATATAATGTCCTTAAAACAAGTCAAAATGAGGCTCAGTAGTGTGTGTGGCCTCCACGTGCCTGTATGACCTCCCTACAACGCCTGGGCATGCTCCTGATGAGGTGGCTGAGGGATCTCCTCCCAGACCTGGACTAAAGCATCCGCCAACTCCTGGACAGTCTGTGGTGCAACGTGGCGTTGGTGGATGGAGCGAGACATGATGTCCCAGATGTGCTCAATTGGATTCAGGTCTGGGGAACGGGCGGGCCAGTCCATAGCATCAACGCCTTCCTCTTGCAGGAACTGCTGACACACTCCAGCCACATGAGGTCTAGCATTGTCTTGCATTAGGAGGAACCCAGGGCCAACCGCACCAGCATATGGTCTCACAAGGGGTCTGAGGATCTCATCTCGGTACCTAATGGCAGTCAGGCTACCTCTGGCGAGCACATGGAAGGCTGTGCGGCCCCCCAAAGAAATGCCACCCCACACCATGACTGACCCACCGCCAAACCGGTCATGCTGGGGGATGTTGCAGGCAGCAGAACGTTCTCCACGGCGTCTCCAGACTCTGTCACGTCTGTCACATGTGCTCAGTGTGAACCTGCTTTCATCTGTGAAGAGCACAGGGCGCCAGTGGCGAATTTGCCAATCTTGGTGTTCTCTGGCAAATGCCAAACGTCCTGCACAGTGTTGGGCTGTAAGCACAACCCTCACCTGTGGACGTCGGGCCCTCATACCACCCTCATGGAGTCTGTTTCTGACCGTTTGAGCAGACCCATGCACATTTGTGGCCTGCTGGAGGTCATTTTGCAGGGCTCTGGCAGTGCTCCTCCTGCTCCTCCTTGCACAAAGGCGGAGGTAGCGGTACTGCGGCTGGGTTGTTGCCCTCCTACGGCCTCCTCCACGTCTCCTGATGTACTGGCCTGTCTCCTGGTAGCGCCTCCATGCTCTGGACACTACGCTGACAGACACAGCAAACCTTCTTGCCACAGCTCGCATTGTTGTGCCATTCTGGATGAGCTGCACTACCTGAGCCACTTGTGTGGGTTGTAGACTCCGTCTCATGCTACCACTAGAGTGAAAGCACCGCCAGCATTCAAAAGTGACCAAAACATCAGCCAGGAAGCATAGGAACTGAGAAGTGGTCTGTGGTCACCACCTGCAGAACCACTTCTTTATTGGGGGTGTCTTGCTAATTGCCTATAATTTCCACCTGTTGTCTATTCCATTTGCACAACAGCATGTGAAATTTTTTGGCAATCAGTGTTGCTTCCTAAGTGGACAGTTTGATTTCACAGAAGTGTGATTGACTTGGAGTTACATTGTGTTGTTTTAAGTGTTCCCTTTATTTTTTTGAGCAGTGTATTTATTATGGATCCCCATTAGCTGCTGCCAAGGCAGCAGCTACTCTTCCAGGGGTTCAGCAAAATTAAGGCAGTTGTATACAATTTTAAAAACATTACAATATATTCACAACACATTAAGTGTGTGCCCACAAAATCTGTGTGTATAGTGTGTTTGTATGCATGTCTGTGCCTGTTTGTATCTCTTCAAATGGTGGTCACACCAGATACTGACTGGTGTTCTGATCCACGCCCCAATCTTTTTTTTCTGTATTCCCAGTCATGCTGCCCTCCCGTGTAGCCCAGTTGGTAGAGCATGGCGCTTGCAACGCCAGGGTTGTGGGTTTGTTTCCCCCGGGGGGCCAGTATGAAAAATGTATGCACTCGCTAACTGTAAGTCGCTCTGGAAAAGAGCGTCTGCTAAATGACTAAAATGTAAAAAATGTGAAATCCATAGATTAGGGCCTAAAATAATTCATTTCAATTGACCGATTTCCTTATGAACTTTAACTCAGTAAAATCTTTTAAATTGTTGCATTTTATATTTTTATTCAGTATAGTTAGTTAGCATTCCCATATCAGCCAGTAACTAGCTAGCTAATGTTAACTAGATACAGCCTTGATAACACAATGTATGCATACAGTGGGGGAAAAAAGCATTTAGTCAGCCACCAATTGTGCAAGTTCTCCCACTTAAAAAGATGAGAGGCCTGTAATTTTCATCATAGGTAAACGTCAACTATGACAGACAAAATGAGAAAAGAAATTCCAGAAAATCACATTGTAGGATTTTTTATGAATTTATTTGCAAATTATGGTGGAAAAAAAGTATTTGGTCAATAACAAAAGTTTCTCAATACTTTTGTTATATACCCTTTGTTGACAATTACACAGGTCAAACGTTTTCTGTAAGTCTTCACAAGGTTTTCACACACTGTTGCTGGTATTTTGGCCCATTCCTCCATGCAGATCTCCTCTAGAGCAGTGATGTTTTGGGGCTGTCGCTGGGCAACACGGACTTTCAACTCCCTCCAAAGATTTTCTATGGGGTTGAGATCTGGAGACTGGCTAGGCCACTCCAGGACCTTGAAATGCTTCTTACGAAGCCACTCCTTCGTTGCCCGGGCGGTGTGTTTGGGACATTGTCATGCTGAAAGACCCAGCCACATTTCATCTTCAATGCCCTTGCTGATGGAAGGAAGTTTTCACTCAAAATCTCACGATACATGGCCCCATTCATTCTTTCCTTTACACGGATCAGTCGTCCTGATCCCTTTGCAGAAAAACAGCCCCAAAGCATGATGTTTCCACCCCCATGCTGCACAGTAGTATGGTGTTCTTTGGATGCAACTCAGCATTCTTTGTCCTCCAAACACGACGAGTTGAGTTTTTACCAAAAAGTTCTATTTTGGTTTCATCTGACCATATTACATTCTCCCAATCCTCTTCTGGATCATCCAAATGCACTCTAGCAAACTTCAGACGGGCCTGGACATGTACTGGCTTAAGCAGGGGGACACGTTTGGCACTGCAGGATTTGAGTCCCTGGCGGCATAGTGTGTTACTGATGGTAGGCTTTGTTACTTTGGTCCCAGCTCTCTGCAGGTTATTCACTAGGTCCCCCCGTGTGGTTCTGGGATTTTTGCTCACCGTTCTTGTGATCATTTTGACCCCACGGGATGAGATCTTGCGTGGAGCTCCAGATCGAGGGAGTTTCAGTGGTCTTGTATGTCTTCCATTTCCTAATAATTGCTCCCACAGTTGATTTCTTCAAACCAAGCTGCTTACCTATTGCAGATTCAGTCTTCCCAGCCTGGTGCAGGTCTACAATTTTGTTTCTGTTGTCCTTTGACAGCTCTTTGGTCTTGGCCATAGTGGAGTTTGGAGTGTGACTGTTTGAGGTTGTAGACAGGTGTCTTTTATACTGATAACAAGTTCAAACAGGTGCCATTAATACAGGTAATGAGTGGAGGACAGAGGGGTCTCTTAAAGAAGTTGTTACAGGTCTGTGAGAGCCAGAAATCTTGCTTGTTTGTAGGTGACCAAATACTTATTTTCCACCATAATTTGCAAATAAATTCATTAAAAATCCTACAATGTGATCTTCTGGAGGGAAAAAAAATCTCAATTTGTCTGTCATAGTTGACGTGTACCTATGATGAAAATTACAGGCCTCTCATCTTTTTAAGTGGGAGAACTTGCACAATTGGTGGCTGACTAAATACTTTTTTTCCCCACTGTACATACGTAGCTACAATATTATATCCTATGTGTGGCATGTAGTTAGATCTTTGATAGAAAACCTTGGCCTAAACATGATCATGACAAGGAAGCAATAACTTGGTGTGCGCCTCCATCTGCCCCAAAGTCAATATATTTCTTGATTTGTGATACAAATATGGTGGTCATTCGCTCTGACCATTCAAACCAAACCACAATACAGCTAACTTGGCTAGAAATAGACTTTTGCATGTGCATAATCATATGCTGCAATTACTGCTGCATTGTCTAAGTCATCCTATCCTACAATAAGCCACAAAGTAAAGTGGACCAGAAAGTAGTAGTGCTTCTTCATCTGATTTTAGCTTGTTATTGTGTCCCTCTTCTAAACAGAGGTTTCTACAGACGTCCCATCTTCACACAGTAGTAGAATATAGGAGTCCATCGACTAGAGCTGGTCTCAGTCGACGTCACAATGGGAGGTTCTTATTGGTCAGTTCCGTGGCTGTCAGGCACAACAGCTCACAGGTGAGTCGGTGTCAATGCGAAATACAGTAACTAGTCTGATCCTCTCACAATTGTTTTAAAACATTACACCATGCTCTGGTTCTTACACCTTGACACGTGGTCAAAATCCAAGACACTTCCTGTTGTATAATAGTTTGTCCTGTTCCTTTAGAAATCCAAACACCTGGTTTGTAAAAGAGGTATTTTGATTGGCACAATATAAAATAAAAGCTGGCATTCTATGTTATATTTTCAGAGATCAAGTGAAACCCTTCCCATGGCATCTCCAGTGCTGGAAGCATCCATCCCCAGCACCATAGTCATGGATCCCGCCTCTGTAAACACACAGCCAATCACTGAGCAGGTATTTGAGGCTGCACCAACTGTAATGGATGTTCTGCAGGGGGTGGGAGTAGAGCTGAGCCTATCAGAGCTGGGCCTGGGGAGCGCCACCCCCGTGGGCCTGGTCCAGAACCTACTCGAGTTCATGCATGTGGACATGGGGATGCCGTGGTGGGGAGCTATTGTTGTAGGTGAGACATTTACATGACATTTACATTTTAGTAATCTAGCAGATGCTCTTATCCAGAGCTACTTACAATCAGTGCATTCATGTTAAGATAGCTATGTGAGACAACAACACATCACAATCGTATCAACAAAGTATTTATCAGCAAAGTCAGTGCTAGTATGAAAAGACAAGTGTCTTTTTTGGGGGGGTTGCCGGGGGCGCCGTGAGTTATTAAATGTACTCTTCAAAGAGGTAGGGTTTCAGACGTTTTCGGAAGATGTGCAGGGACTCCGCTGTGCTGACTTTAGGGATAAGCTTTTTCCACCATTGGGGTGCCAGGACAGAGAAGAACTTTGACTGGGCTGAGCGGGAGCTGCCCTCCCATAGGGGTGGAAGGGCCAAGAGACCAGAGGTGGAAGAACGGAGTGCTCGGGTTGGGATGTAGGGTTTGAGCATAGCCTGAAGGTAGGGAAGGACAGTTCCCCTTGCTGCTCTGTAGACAAGCACCAGGGTCTTGAAGATGATGCGAGCTTTGACTGGAAGCTAGTGGAGCGGGATGACATGCGAGAACTTCGGAAGGTTGAACACCAGTCAGGCTGCAGTATTCTGGATAGGTTGCTGGGGTTTGATGGCACAAGCGGGGAGCCCAGCCAACCGAGTTGCAGTAGTCTAGATGGGAGATGACAAGTGCCTGGATTAGAACCTGTGCTGCTTCCTGTGTGTGGAAAGGTTGTACTCTACCGATGTTGTAGAGCATGAACCTGCAGGAGCGAGTCACTGCTTTGATGTTTACAGAGAACGACAGGGTGTTGTCCAGGACCGACGTCCAAGCTGAGATATTTGCAAGGCACGCAAAGATGTCGCCACCTGGGTGTCAGAAGAGGGGAAGGAGAAAAGTAGTTGAGTGTCATCCACATAGCAATGATAGAAGAGCCCATGTGAGGATATGCAAGAGCCGATTGACTTGGTGTAAAGAGAAAATATTTTTCCACTTTGCCAGCTCGGGATTTGAACCAGCAACCTTTTGGTTACTGGCCCAACGCTCTTAACCACTAGGCTACCAGTCTCCGTTGAGTGAGCCGTCTTGAAGCCTGACTGGTTAGGGTCAAGAAGAATTGTTCTGAGAGATAACCAGAGAGTTGGTCAGGGACAGCACGCTCAAGTGTGTTGGAAAGAAAAGAAAGAAAGGATACCGGTCTTTAGTTTTTGATGTCAGAGGGGTCGAGTGTTGGTTTCTTGAGGAGGGGGGCAACTCTGGCCATCTTGAAGTCAGAGGGGATGCAGCCAGTGGTCAGGGATGAGGGAAGTGAGGAATGGGAAAACATCTCCAGAAATGGTCTGGAGGAGGGGATGGGGTCAAGTGGGCAGGTTGTTGGGCGGCCAGACATCACTAGTCTCAGAATTTCATCTGGAGAAAGAGGTCAAGGCATAAGGTAGTTCTGTGTGAGTGGGACCGGTGGGCTCAGTAGGCTGAGTGAATGAGTAACTGATGTCTTTGTCCTTTTTTTCAAGGTGGTTGACAGTCATTCGCAGGGAAGGGGAGGAGGTGGAGGATTAAGGAGGGAGGAGAAAGTGGAGAAGAGTTTCCCAGGGTTAGAGGCAGAAGCTTGAAATTTAGAGTGATAGAAAGCATCTTTAGCAGCCGATACAGAGGAAAATAAGGTAGAGCGAGAGGAGGGAGTGGAAGGATGATAGGTCCTCCGGAAGTTTGGTTTTCCTCCATTTCCGCTCAGCTGCCCGCAGCCCTGTTCTGTTAGCGCGTAGTGAGTCACAGACCATAGAATTAGGAATGAATGTAATTGAATAGGATCTCTATGGGTGAGACCCTCCTCATCAGAACTCTGTGTGGGTTGCCTCAGCCTGTCTAGCTTCAAATCATCAGACTTGAGTCCAATATTCACAAGGAGATACTTGGTTGTAAGAGGCTTTTGGTATTTATCTTGATGTATTGCTGACTTTCCTTATTTTTTTATTTTGTCCTTTTCTGTTTTTCTCTTACACACCCACACCCACAGGCACGGTGCTGGCCCGCATCATGGTGTTCCCGGTCATCGTGAAGGGTCAGAGGGAGGCAGCCAAGCTGAACAACGTTATACCAGAGATTACCAAACTCACCAACAAGATGAACGAGGCCAAACAGAGCGGAAACAAGTTTGACTGTTAGTCTTCTCTCTCTCTCCTCCTCAACTCATTTCTGTTTAATGACATCTGTATCCTCCCTCTGTATTTATCCCTCTTTCATCTCTCATTGGAACTGCTCCCTTCTTTTGCTGCTCTACTCTTCTCATTTCGCTATTTCCCAGATAGAGATGAAGCCTTATACTAAAAACCATTTTCAATGGAGAATCTCCATTGCTTTTAACTCAATGACTAGGCTTGATCTCTGTCCAGGAAAGCGGCCCTTACAAAAATTATATATATATATTTTTTACATAAAATAACAAAAATCCCAACAAATCAGCTCCAAGTGATTTTTATTTTGGACATCTGTTCCAAAGTATTCTCATGCATAATATAGAGATATATATATATATATATATATATGATCGTATTCAAATGTAAGCAAGGTTTGAAATTATGTTTTTAGTTTTGATCCCTGCTGTAGTGTGTGATGTCTCCCTCAGTTTCTCATGTGAGGTAATATTTCTGTGTTTCTCCTAGTTGCTAAGGCGTACTCTGACCTGACCATGTTCCAGAAGAAGCATGACGTCAACCCTCTTCGTGGCTTCCTGGTCCCTCTGGTGCAGGTCAGTTACAGCTACGTCTCTCTCCCTTTCTCCCCCCCCCCCCCTCTCTCTTCACTGATTTTAAAGAAAATAACTGATATATAAGTAATGATGGAAACTCCCACTATAGCCCATGCCTCCACAAAATCCAATGCTTTACGATTTATGGGAAGTATTGAACAAGGAGAAAGAAGATATTAATGGGACCTAGTATTTAGGACCCAAGACTAATCCCACCTCTCTCCCTCTCTCTTTTTCCAGACTCCAGTCTTCATCTCGTTCTTCATTGCTCTCAGAAAGATGTCCTACCTCCCTGTCCCCAGTATGCAGACAGGAGGGTGCTTGTGGTTCTTCGACCTCACAGCAGCAGACCCCTTCTACATCCTCCCCATCGCTGTGACCGGAACCATGTTCGCCATCCTGGAGGTAAGTTTAGTCAAGTCATAACCCTGTCCCCAGGCTATTGCGCATTGGGCGGACATGTCTGGGGAAATATTATTCAGCTGTGCTGACCTTGATTAGCTTTTTTTTATATATATATATATATATTGAATTTTTTATCAAACAGGATATTATAACTTTTCTTTTATAAATGTTTTATTGAAATATTTGAATGCAAGATGATGAATAATATTTGCATAGTATTAACAGTATTGAGCCTGAATATCAACCACCTGTCTGTCTCCCTGTCTTCTCAGTTGGGGGCAGAGTCTGGTGTGGATAACCCTAACCTGAAAGCCATGAAGACTGTGTTCAGAATCATGCCCTTCGTCATCCTCCCCCTCACCATCAACTTCCCCACGGTCAGTCGCTCTCTTTGTTTCTCTGTTTATCTCTTGCGCCCCCCTGTGGCAGTATCATAATATGACATGCGTCCTCCGTAAACAATAACAAGTATGCAGTAGCCCTGGGATACTTCTGTTCATTTCGTTGTGATTCAATCTTTAATATTTTTCCAGGTTAGTCGTGTTGAGATAAAAAGCTTCAGTGTCACAAGTGTATCTCTGTCTGGCTTGGCATTATGGAGCCAGTCTGCTAACCTGTTTCTCTCAAAGAATAACAACCGGTAGTGTGGTTGACAATGCTTTCAGTAGTATTGGGCTACTTTGACAAGCCCAAATAAGTTCAGGAGGAAAAATGTGCTTAAGTCAGATAATAAGTTGCATGGACTCACTGTGTGAAATTATAGTGTTTAACATGATTTTTTAAATGACTACCTAATCTCTGTACCCCACACATACAATTACCTGTAAGGTCCCTTAGTCCAGCAGTGAATTTCAAACACAGATTCAACCACAAAGACCAGGGAGGTTTTCCAATGCTTCTTAAAGAAGGGCACATATTGGTAAATGGCACACAAAAAAAAAGCAGACATTGAATATCCCTTTGAGCATGGCAAAGTTATTAATTACACTTTGGATGGTGTATCAATACACTCAGTCACTACAAAGATAAAGGTGTACTTCCTAACTCAGTTGCCGGAGAGGAAGGAAACCGCTCAGGGATTTCACCATGAGGCCAATTGTGACTTTAAAACAGTGAGAGTTTAGTAGCTGTGATGGGCGAAAACTGAGGATGGATCAACAACATTGTAGTTGCTCTACAATACTAACCTAATTGACAGAGTAAAAAGAAGGACGCCTATACAGAATAAAAATATTCCAAAACCTGCCTCCTGTTTGCAACAAGGCACTATAGTAATACTGCAAAAAAATGTGGCAAAGCAATTAACTTTTTGTGCTGAATACAAAGTGTTATATGTGGGGCAAATCCAATACAACACATTACTGAGTACCACTCTCCATATTTTCAAGCATAGTGTTGGCTACACCATGTTATAGGTATGCTTGTAATCGTTAAGGACTGGGGAGTTTTTCACAAAAAAAAAAAAAAAATGAAAGAAAGAAACGGAATGGAGCTAAGCACTGGCAAGGCTAAGCTAAGCTTAGACGGAAAACCTGGGTGTCTGCTTTCCACCAAACACAGGGAGATGAATTCACCTTTCAGCAGGACAATAACCTAAAACACAAGGCCAAATCTACTCTGTGGAGTTGCTTACCAAGAAGACAGGGAATTGAATTCTAAATAAATCACAGACAGTGTCACCAGCAAAGCACCACCACACCATTACACCACCTCCTCCATGCTTTACGGTGGCAAATACACATGCAGAGATAATCCGTTCACCCACACCGCGTCTCACAAAGACAGAGTGGTTGGAACCAAAAATTGCACATTTGGACTCCAGACCAAAGGACAAATTTCCACCGGTCTAATGTCCATTGCTCGTGTTTCTTGGCCCAAGCAAGTCTCTTCTTCTTATTGGTGTCCTTTTAGTAGTGGTTTCTTTGCAGCAATTCAACCATGAAGGCCTGACTCACACAGTCCCCTCTGAACAGTTGATGTTGAGATGTCTGTTACTTGAACTCTGTGAAGCATTTATTTGGGCTGCAATTTCTGAGGCTGGTAACTCTAATGAACTTATCCTCTGCAGCAGAGGTAACTCTGGGCCTTCCATTCCTGTGGTGGTCCTCATGAAAGCCAGATTCATCATAGCGCTTGATGGTTTTTGCGACTGCACTTGCAGAAACTTTTCAAAGTTCTTGAAATGTTCCGTATTGACTGACCTTCATGTCTTAAATTAATGATGGACTGTCGTTTCTCTTTTCTTATTTGAGCTGTTCTTGCCATAATATGGACTTGGTCTTTTACCAAATAGGGATATCTTCTGTATACCCCCCCCCCTACCTTGTCGCAACGCAACTGATTGCCTCAAATGCATTAAGAAGGAAAGAAATTCCACAAATTAACTTTTAAGAAGGCACACCTGTTAATTGAAATGCATTCCAGGTGACTACCTCGTGAAGCTGGTTGAGAGAATGCCAAGAGTGCGCAAAGCTGTCAAGGCAAAGGGTGGCTATTTGAAGAACCTCAATATAAAATGTTTTTGATTTGTTTAACACTTTTTTGGTTACTACATGATTCCATATGTGTTATTTCAAAGTTTTGATGTCTTCACTATTATTCTACAATGTAGAAAATAGTAAAAAATAAAGAAAAACCCTTGAATGAGTAGGTGTTCTAAAACTTTTGACCGGTAGTGTATATTTTTAAACAACAACAAAAACAGCAGGGTCATACTGCTAAAAGAGTGTCTTTGTTTGAGCATCAAGGAGCTAGTCTGGAAATCTCACATTTCTCTCTCTCCCAGGCGGTGTTTACGTACTGGATGACATCCAACTGCTTCTCCTTGGCCCAGGTGGCCCTGCTCAAACACCCACTGGTCAGACAGAAGCTGAGGATCCCAGAGAGGATTGAACACCCGGTCTCCGGCCAGCCCCAGAACGAAGGCTTCATCGATACCATCAAGAAGGGTGGGTGTAGTGGAACTGATGTAAAGGGGTGGGGATGTGTCATGGAGTCACCTGTGAAAATAGTCTCCTCTCTTTCTGGGTTGGATTTGCTCTGTGTATTTGTCTTTCTCTCTTTCTTTCCTTTTCACTCACTCTCGGACATACATTCTCCTCTTGCTCCCAATTAAAACATGGTTGTCTGTCTCTCCTATAGGCTGGAAGAACGCTCAACTGGCCCAGCAGTTGGAGGAGAGGGAGAGGAGGATGAAGAACCACCTGGACATCGCTCCTAAAGGTGCCTTTTTACCACCACCCCTTCTTCAGATCAGTGCCATTTTCTACATTTACTCTATTTTATTTTGCTCCTAAATGGAATGTTTTCACAGCAGGTTGACGTTTATTGTCATGAGTCTTGTCCTGGAGGCAGAACTGAGCGATTTCCCCATAGGCCAGCAGCAAAGTCAACATGGACTATATTGTAAACATTTATGAAAACAAAAATGAGCTTTTTGGTCTTAATTTAAGGTTATGGTTAGGGTTAGCAGTGTGGTTATGGTTAGGTTTAAAATCAGATTTTCTGACTTTGTGGCTGTGCCAGCTAGTGACCACTCTGCAAAGCTGCCTCCAGAACAAGATTCATGACGTTAAAACGCTAACCTGCATTTTAACAGGTACCTCAGTGATAAATTTTATCTGTGAATATTGTAGTGGGTTTATGGTTTTCCTTTCTTTCACCTCATGCCTTTCTCTCTCTTTGTACTGTCCTCTCCAACCAGGTCCACTGAGGCAGACCTTCACCCACATCCCTCTACAACAGTCAACACCATCCATTCCAGCAACAACATCAGCAACCAAGTCAGCCAAAGCAAAACAAGCGGCCCCGGCAACCGGTGGGAAGGAGAGGCCATGGGAGCAGACTATTGGTTGAAGAAGAGTGACAGACAGTTTGAAGGCCCAATGAATCATGTGTACATATTTGAGGGGGAGGGGGATTGGTAGAGAACGTGGGCAATATTCTAAATAAAGAGCAAACTTCTGTTGCCTTATAAAGTCTGTTTACATTATGATAACCTGAATTCTTATTTGAAAACATGAAATCGGTATTGTTCATTATATCCATTGGAATGACGGCAAGGGAATTGTTACAACTAGTGTTTGCATTGTACATATCTATGGTGGGAATCGAGTCATTTAACATTTCCATCAGTAATTTATTATAAATAGTCTAAACAATTGATCAACTCAACCAATCCCCTCCCCTTTGTTTAAATCAACTCACATGTTGAGTGAATGAGGAAAGATTATTCTTAATACGTTGATTAAAAAATATAGCCCTTTGCTTAAAAAAAAATCTTAAAGGCTGCAGGTGGAATGGACATTTACATAGGATAAATCTAACACATTTTCCACAAAAATAATTGTGCCTAGAGCAACCTGTATACTACTATTCTCGCCTAACCACATACAACGAACTAACCCTCAGTAATTATATTACTTTCCGACATGTCTTCAGTGCCTCTGTCTCTTGTTTCCTTATTGATGTGACTTCAGAAGTATCAGTAGTGACTTATGCCACTATGGCTACGTTTACACAGGCAGCCCAATTCTGATCTTTTTTCCACTAATTGGTCTTTTGACCAATCACATATCTTTTTACATCAGCTCTTTTTCAGAGCTGATTCCTCAAAAGACCAATTAGCGATAAAAAGATCAGAATTGGGCTGCCTGTGTAAACGCAGCCTATCAGAAATATCCATATTTGAGTATAAACATATTTGAGCACAGGAATGTTTTAGTATTGATTCTTCTGTAGTGTGCGTTTGTGTGGAATGTCCTCTGTGATGTCAGAGGCAACTGGAGTGTCACCCTGGCTGTAAAACAACCCCATAGTCCAATGAACATATCATGGCAATGATTGGTTGGGCTAGAGATTTGGTCTAATGAATGGCTGCCGTTTGACTCAGCCCTCTGATTGGCAGCCGAGGGAGATACTGGCCAGGAGGGGGTGTGGTTGAGCCTCTAGTTTTGTGCGTCTTCAGTTGTCGGCGGCAGCAGTGTGTTGGTTGGTTTTAATATCTTCACTCCAACTTGTCTATGACGTCCAACTCGGTCACGACAGAATAGCACACCTTCTGAATCAACAGACCAAAGTTGGCTAGGGAGGGAGAAGATGAGAGCGGATGAGAGACCTACCCTTCAAATACATCAATGCGACACGAGAGATAGCATGAGAAGTGTAAGCAACTCATGTCATACCAAACTAAGGTCACACATTTCCAGAAATTTCCCCAAAATTCTCTGGTTTTCCAGAAATCCTGGTTGGAAGATTCCCCAGGATTTCCTGAAAACCTGGACATTTTGGGAAAGTCACCAGATTTTTCCAACCCTATACTAAACTCAAACATTCATCTGATTCTTACCAAAGAACCTGCGGAGCCACATGGGCCTTTTGGTGGCGGGAGTATAGATACACAGGAAGTAGACAGGCACTCCTGATAGGGCGATGCCGATGCCAATCAGAGAGTTGATGGTGTCACTGTAGATGGGAACCACCACTAGGAACACAGTGCAGAAACAGAAGATGATCGGGAAGAACAGACTGAGCTGAGAGAGGAGAGGGAGAGGGAGGGGGGTGAGAGAAATAGGGAAGAAGAGTTAATACACAACTATACGAAACAGGGTCCGGTTTTGATGTCAAACAGTGAAAGAGAGCATACATTCAAACCCGCATTGTGAATTACAGTATAAATGCTTCATACATGAAAACACTAATGGAGCTTTGCCTTTGAATGTGTTTATAGGCTACAGTGTTTTTTTGTTGGGTCTATGGGTGTTAAAGGCCACGGTGTGGATGTTTGGGGCAATTCCATGGGAACAGAATGATGCTGAGACTTAGTATTTTCACTTTAAATTGTTTGTCCCCAAAAAAAAAAAACATTGATTGCGAAGTTAAACAAACCATATAACCCTATGCACAAGGATGACTTTCAACAATTTCCACTGAAAATGTTACAAAAACACATTTACTTGAAGAACAGTGCCGATGCAAAGTTTGGTAACAGAATTACTGTTTGTGCCATCAATCTGTTACCAAACTTTGCATCTGCACTGTTCTTCAACTAAATGTGTTTTTGTACAATTTTCTGTGGGAATTGTTAAAAGTTGTCCTTGTGCGTTGTATGGTTTAATTAACTTTGCAATCTATGGTATTTGTTTGACATATATTTAAAAGTGAAAAAATCATTATGTTACTGTGGAATTCCCTTTGTCCTACCTTGAGGGGTCTGACTCTGTCTGGCTGTTTCCAGCGCAGGTACAGCTGTCCCAGGATAGACAGGCCCACAAAGAACCAGTAGCTGAAGCTGTAGTAGTTGATCAGTTTAAAGATGTCCTCCACACACAGGTAGACCAGCGCCATGGCACCCTATAGTATAGAGCAGAGAGATATATTTAGAGCAACGGCACCATGTCAAAATGTACAACATGCCTTATACAAAAACTATATTTCAAAGAAACTAGATATAGCGGAACACTATGGGGACGAACAGACAAAGAGAATGCTGAGATTGCAGACAGACAGAATTCTGCGGCAGACAGAACACTGGGTTAAAATAATAGAATGCTGAGAACAGATTTCTGGGGCAGACAAAACAATGGGTCAGAATGTTAGGTAGAGGGGCCTCCCAAGTGGTGCAGCGGTCTAAGGTACTGCATCACAGCACTAGAGGCGTCACTACAGATCCGGGTTCGATCTCAAGCTGTGTCGCAGCCGGCTGCGACCAGGAGACCCATGAGGCGGCACACAATTGGCCCAGCATCGTCCGGGTTAGGGGAAGGTTTGGCCGGCTGGGATGTCCTTGTCCCATTGCGCTCTAGCGACTCCTTGTGGCGGCCGGGTGCCTGCACGCTGACTTCAGTTGCCAGCTGTACAGTGTTTCCTCCGACACATTGGTGCGGCTGGCTTCCGGGTTAAGCGAGCAGTGTGTCAAGAAGCAGTGCGGCTTGGCGGGGTCGTGTTTCGGAGGACGCATGGCTCTCGACCTTCGCCTCTCCCGAGTCCATACGGGAGTTGCAGTGATGGGATAAGACTGTAACTACCAATTGGATATCACGAAATAGGGGAGAAAAAGGGGTAAAAAGTACCAAATAAAATAAGAATGTTAGGTAGATGCAGAAACAGAACGTTGACACAGAACTGAGACCAATACAACACTGAACAAAGAAAACCACTCTTAAGAAAATGGAAATGTGCATTGTTCCAGACAGACAGACAGAAGTTCACACACACACACACACACACACACAACACACACAAACACACACAAAGACAGTGGCTTTGCGAGATGACTGACGTTGAAGAGCAGTGCGGGGATGGGGGTGTAGCGGGTGACGTGGATCATGCACAGATAGTCTGGGAGATGGCCCTCCCTGGAGCCCACGAAGAACAGCCTGCAAAAAACACAAACACACGTCACTGGAGCACTGATAATGGACAAACCACACGCACACACAGGTTATCGTGTGTAGGGCAATTAGGCTATAGGGCCCATCGTTTTTTCCGATCAGAACACATGGTCAATAATGAGGAGATTATCAGTGATAACGATGATGTTGATGAAGATGATGATGAGGAAGATAAGGAAGAAGGCCGGCATCAGAACGTTGTCATTCTAACTCACCTGGAGGCAGCCAGAATAGATGCGTTGAGTCCTCCAAAGCAGGAGAGAGCCACCGCCAAAGGGATGGTCCAGTTCATCACGCCAAACACCTGGTCTGCAAACGTCTGGGGGATAAAAACAGGCCTCATATTAGACCAATCAGAACACTTACAGTACATCATATTACAAAGTCATTTAGGGCTCATTGGGATGAGATGCAGATAGAAATGTATACATCTGACGTGATGACTACCCTAATCTACATGACATAGAATAATGTCTGTTCTATTTACAGTATATTTCTGTCTGAAGGGAACTCACCACAGCCACGGCAAAGAAACACTTAGTTAAAGACAGATAAACCCCAGACAGAGGCAGTGAACATGGCTCTATACAGTCATCTCAGGGGTTCTCCATTGGATGATGAGCAGATAGAATGTATACCTCTGCGGTGATGAAGTACCCAATCTAATGACATAGGAATAGGATGTGTTAGATTACAGGGAGTATTGTCGTTGAAGGGACACACAGCACGGCAACTGTCAGGATGGCAGGATAGGAAGGGAGCACAGTGTAGTGGCAAGGAAGTTGGGAGCAGAGATAGGTCACCGGGCGATGGGCATGGAGAGGCGATGGCCAGGGGCAGGGTTCCTGTAGTGCACAAACAACAGCAGGGGGAGCAGAGAAGGCACGTAGATGTGGAGAAGAGATAAAGGAGAAGAGGCAGGTGAAGTGGAGTGGATACATCAGGGGTGACAGTGAGTGAAGGTGAAGAGTTACCACTTGGGCAAGGGTGGGGTGAAGGTGGAGGAGCAGAGGTAGGTGGAAGTGGAGGAGTAGAGGAAGGTGGAGGGGGATGTGGAGGAAGGTGAGAGGGAGGTGGAAGTGCAGAGGAAGGTGGAAGAGCAGAGGAAGGTGAGGGGGAGGTGGAGGTGCAAAGGAAGGTGGAGGAGCAGAGGAAGGTGGGGGAGCAGAGGAAGGTGCAGAAGAAGGTGGGGGAGCAGAGGAAGGTGGAGGGGGATGTGGAGGAGCAGAGTAAGGTAGGGGCAGGGGTTGAGGTGCAGAGGAAGGTAGAGGGGGAGGTGGGAGTGTGTTTGTCATAATCTGCCTGAGAACTGGAAGTAGCTTGTGATCCAATCACATGTCTGTCTTGCTCCATTTGATCAGTGTTTGGCTGTGTGAATCAGAGCGAAGGAGCTCAGTTAAATACTTCCCCAGGAGAAGAGGAGCCTCCAGCCCTACTCCGCCCTCCCCCGCCTAATACATCTGACTACCCATTCAGTCCGTATGTCATCCCACTCCATACCTCCCATCCTTGCCTCATCAATCACTATTACTACACCTTCTCTTCTTACTCACAACCACTCCATATATCTACCCCCTCTCCCTCTCCCTCTCTCTCCCTCTCCTTAATACACTCTCATCCTTCTTCCCTCTTCCCTCTCATCCTCTTATTCCTTCCTTATCCCTTAGCCTACATTTACTATACTAATTATTACTCGTCCTCTACTCCTTCACTACCTCTCATTCTCGTACCCTTCCCCTGGCCCTCCCTTCACCTCTCTGGGTTTTTGATCTCTTCTGTGACGAAGTTGAGTGTGTCCCAGCCAGAGTAGGAGAACAGAGCAGAGTACAGGGCCAGAGCTATGTCTCCTGGATCCGTGGATGAGCCCTCAAACATACCCTCAAAGTTCTGCGTCTGGCCTGAGGAACACGCACACACACACACACACACACAAGATCCTGTATTATTACACATACGTAAATACATACATTAACTGGTATAAATGACTGTATGTAAATACTACAGATAAATATGTATTTTATGTACAATAACTATAGGACCGTGTCAGTGTTCACAGTGGGTATATCTGTTTCTGTGAATGTACAGTACAGTACAGTGAGTGGATGGTTGAATATTTGGACGATATGTGTGATAATATTATTGCGTGTGAGTGTGAGGGCCATCCTGGCAGCATCAGTACCTTGTCCTATCTTGACCAGGCCGGTGATGATGACAGCGATGAGTGCGATGACCTTAGCGTAGGTGAAGAAGTCCTGGACACGCGTCCCCCACTTCACATAGGCACAGTTCACAAAGGTCAGCAAACCTGGAGAGGAGATACAAACATTTAGACATTTAGATCTACATGTTACTACACACACACACACGCACGCTCAGACACACGCTGACGTGTGTGTGTTCTAGTTTCAGTCTACGTAGCTGGAGGAAATGAGGCTGCTGACTGCAGCAGTCAAGGCCGTTGTTTTCCACAGAGGTTCAAGAGCTGAGTGCAGCACATAGAGACAGAGACAGAGAGGAGTAGGAGGAACGGAGGGAGAAAGAGAAAAGGTCAGACACAGAAGAAGAGACTAGTGGGGTAAAAGGAGTACACAGATAGAGTGCTAAGGGTTATTAAACGACCTCTATAGATTAGTAAAATGACTAACACTGTCTAGCTGACTGACTGACTGCCTGTCTAGCTGTCTGACTGACTGTCTAGCTGACTGACTGACTGACTGGCTGACTGACTGTCTAGCTGACTGACTGACTGTCAAGCTGACTGACTGTCTAGCTGACAGACTGACTGTCTAGCTGACTGACTGACTGACTGTCTAGCTGACTGACTGACTGTCTAGCTGACTGACTGACTGACTGACTAGCTGACTGACTGTCTAGCTGACTGACTGACTGTCTAGCTGACTGACTGACTGACTAGCTGACTGACTGACTGACTGACTAGCTGACTGACTGTCTAGCAGACTGACTTACTGACTGACTGACTGTTTAGCTGACTGAGTGACAGACTGACTGTCTAGCTGACTGACTGACTGACTGGCTGACTGTCTAGCTGACTGACTGTCTAGCTGACTGACTCACTGACTGTCTAGCTGACTGACTGACTAGCTGACTGACTGACTGTCTAGCTGACTGACTGACTGACTGACTAGCTGACTGACTGACTGTCTAGCTGACTGACTGACTGACTGTCTAACTGACTGACTGACTGTCTAGCAGACTGACTGAGTGACTGTCTAGCTGACTGACTGACTGACTGACTGTCTAACTGACTGACAGACTGACTGATTGTCTAGCTGACTGACTGACTGACTGACTGTGTAACTGACTGACTGACTGACTAGCTGACTGACTGTCTAGCTGACTGACTGACTGACTAGCTGACTGACTGTCTAGCTGACAGACTGACTGTCTAGCTGACTGACTGACTGACTGACTAGCTGATTGACTGACTGACTGTCTAGCAGACTGACTGACTGACTGACTGACTGACTGACTGACTTACTGACTGTCTAGCTGACTGAATGACTGACTGACTGTCTAGCTGACTGACTGACTGACTAGCTGACTGACTGTCTAGCTGACTGACTGACTGACTGGCTGACTGACTGACTGTCTAGCTGACTGACTGACTGACTGACTGACTGACTGACTGTCTAGCTGACTGACTGACTAGCTGACTGACTGACTGTCATGCTGACTGACTGACTGACTAGCTGACTGACTGACTGTCTAGCAGACTGACTGACTGACTGTCTAGCTGACTGACTGACTGACGGTCTGACTGACTGACTGGCTGACTGACTGACTGTCTAGCAGACTGACTGACTGACTGTCTAGCTGACTGACTGACTGACTGACTGACTGACTGTATGACTGACTGACTGGCTGACTGTCAAGCTGACTGACTGACTGGCTGACTGACTGACTGTCTAGCTGACAGACTGTCTAACTGACTGACTGACTGACTGACTGACTGACTGGCTGACTGTCTAGCTGACTGACTGACTGACTGACTGACTGGCAGACTGTCTAACTGACTGACTGACTGACTGACTAGCTGACTGACTGTCTAGCTGACTGACTGACTGACTGACTAGCTGACTGTCTAGCTGACTGACTATCTAGCTGATTGACTGACTGACTGACTGACTGGCTGACTGTCTAGCTGACTGACTGACTGATATACTGACTAGCTGGCTGACACACTGACTCACTGGCTGACTGACTGACTGTCTAGCTGACTGACTGACTTACTGGCTGACTGACACACTAACTAGCTGGCTGGCTGACAGATACAGACTGAGTTTCTAACTGTGTCCTTGTAATACACTGCTCCCCATTCTTAGTATTGAAAACATGTTTTCCAGTTTGTCTTCTCTCTCTCTATGTGCTTATCAGTGTTTGTTCCTTCAAGTTCAGAAACCTGAGATAGTCATCACTGTCCTCCCACTGTCCTCCCACTCACTGGGATTGAATAATAACTAATGTATCGCTCTCTTCACTATGGTTGCATCTCAAATGGCACCCTATTCCCTATGTAGTACACTACTTTTGACAAGGACCTGTAGGGCTCTGGTCAAAGGTATTGCACTACATTGGGAATATGGTGCCATTTGGGACACAGCCTATATATCTATACAGTATATCCCTCACACTGCATAGTGTTTGATAAGCCTCTGGTATACCCAAAATGCTCCTCAACAACATTTTCCTGCATTACTGTAATGTTAAGTAGCCATAATGATATCTACCATCCAGTGTTTACCTAAATGATTAACACTCAAGTTCAGATCTACAACTCAAGTGAATGTTCATGTTAAAACAAATATATACATTGACACACATACAGTACATACACACATCACCCTTCTCAACATAAAAAGAGGTTCATAACTAGGGCCCTGCGTTTTTCCTGGTGCGGTCACATGGCCAGGCCAAATATCAAGACCCTAATCATAATCCTAGATGGATGAAGGCCTATGTATATCATTGATCATCATAACTGTCACCATCTCTCCCTGCCTCTCCCAAATGAAGAGTGGGCCATGACACTGTGTCCACCAATCTCCCCCGAAATAAGAATAATACTTAGCTACCAGAATAGCATGTTTCCCTTCCACCCCCAAACCTAAAGGATCATAACACTTTATCCCAGTTATGAAGACATGGATCATAACAGTCTCTTATCAATAGGGGATCTCCTTAAACATAACATATCTCACCATCCAGACCAGTCCAGAGATAGTGAGTGATCCGGACTAACAGAGAACTGACAGAGTATAGCGGGCCACACAGATGTCCTAGGCGTGGTTGTATTGACAGTGAAAGGCTAGAAGGGTGGGAGGGTGTAGATCAGGTCGGTCCTCTAGGCTACTCCAGATCTGGTCCAGATGTGTGGTGAGACCATGGATTATATCCCAAATGGCACCCTATTCCCTAGATAGTGCACTACCCATTGGGCCCTGGTCAACAGTAGTGCACTACATAAGGAATAGGGTGCCATTTGGGACGCAACCCATAGACTGTATCAAAATAGGGGTAAGATTGACGGCTGCCATGTTTGGGCGCTGTCCTGTGGTGTACGGAGAACTCCTAACCATTTATACAGGATCAAGGTTAGGGTTGATGGTAGGGTAATCTGATCCTATATCTGTGGTTATAGTTCATTTCTACCTGGAGGTGTTTCCGGTCTTCTCAGGGCTGTGCCATGCTGTGGAGTATGTTGACGTCGCCTCTAACGCCTCTAAACACTGATACTAGATCAGGTGTTTTTCCATCCGCTTGATGGTTAGGATGGGGTGTAGACTAATCTGATCCTAGATCTGTGGTTATAGTTCACTTCTGTGCCATGCTGACTGACCTGTCATTAGCTATTAGCCTGGGGTCAGAGTCTTGAAATAGAAAGGACTTTTACCTTTTTACCTAGCAGCTATCAGCACATTAACATTCCCTAAAGCACTGCTTATCTGTGTGTGTGTGTGTGTGTGTGTGTGTGTGTGTGTGTGTGTGTGTGTGTGTGTGGTGTGTGTGTGTGGTGTGTGTGTGTGTGTGTGTGTGTGTGTGTGTGTGTGTGTGTGTGGGGTTGTGTGTGTTGTTGTGTGTGTGTGTGTGTGTGTGTGTGTGTGTTGTGTGTGCGTGCGTGCGTGCGTGCTTGCGTGCGTCTGGGTGGGATATGGGTGTGTCCGGATTGTAGTTAGATGAATGAGTGTATTTATTCTGAGTGATTTTTGCAACTTGAAGGATGCTTTCTCAGAACTATCCCCTTTAATGAGGCTCGTAACAGTGTTTCTATCTGGTTGCGTAGTAGCAGCAGTATTCTGTATATGTCCATACTTTCCGGCTATTTGACCCAGGGTTTCGTCGGGTTGTTTTCATGTTCTATGTGTTCCATCAATCTGTTCCAGTTCTGGCTTATACTGTACTTACTAATGACTATCAACCCCACAATAATAATATGGCTAAATTCCCTAAAGCACTGCTTATCTGTGTGTGTGTGTGTGTGTGTGTGTGTGTGTGTGTGTGTGTGTGTGTGTGTGTGTGTGTGTGTGTGTGTGTGTGTGTGTGTGTGTGTGTGTGTGTGGTGTGTGTGTGTGTGTGTGTGTGTGTGTGTGTGTGTGTGTGTGTGTGTGTGTGTGTGTGTGTGTGTGTGTGTGTGTGTGTGTGTGCGTGCGTGCGTGCGTGCGTGCTTGCGTGCGTCTGGGTGTGGATATGGGTGTGTCCGGATTGTAGTTAGATGAATGAGTGATATTTATTACTTGAGTGATATTTTGCAACTTGAAGGATGCTTATCTCAGAACTATCCCCTTTAATGAGGCTCGTAACAGTGTTCTATCTGGTTGCGTAGTAGCAGCAGTATTCTGTATATGTCCATGACTTCCGGCTATTTGACCCAGGGTTTCGTCTGGTTGTTTTCATGTTCTATGTGTTCCATCAATCTGTTCCAGTTCTGGCTTATACTGTACTTACTAATGACTATCAACCCCACAATAATAATATGGCTATCAACCCCACAATAATAATAAGACTATCAACCCCACAATAATAATAAGACTATCAACCCCACAATAATAATAAACTATCAACCCCACAATAATAAAAGACTATCACCCCACATATAATAAGACTATCAACCCCACAAATAATAAGACTATCAAACCACAATATATAAGACTATCAAACCCACAATAATATACGACTATCAAATCCACATAATAATACTATCAAATCCACAATAATATATGACTATCAACCCACAATAATGATATGACTATCAAACCCACAATAATAGTATGACTATCAAACCCACAATAATAGTATGACTCAAACCCACAATAATAATATGGCTATCAACCCCACAATAATAATAAGACTATCAACCCCACAATAATAATAGACTATCAAACTCACAATAATAATAAGACTATCAAACCCACAATAATAATAAGACTATCAAATCCACAATAATAATATGACTATCAAATCCACAATAATAATATGACTATCAAACCCACAATAATGATATGACTATCAAACCCACAATAATAGTATGACTATCAAACCCACAATAATAGTATGACTCAAACCCACAATAATAATATGGCTATCAACCCCACAATAATAATAAGACTATCAACCCCACAATAATAATAAGACTATCAACCCCACAATAATAATAAGACTATCAACCCCACAATAATAATAAGACTATCAACCCCACAATAATAATAAGACTATCAACCCCACAATAATAATAAGACTATCAAACTCACAATAATAATAGACTATCAAACCCACAATAATAGTATGACTATCAAACCCACAATAATAGTATGACTATCAAACCCACAATAATAATATGACTATCAAACCCACAGTAATAGTATGACTATCAACCCCACAATAATAATATGACTATCAAACCCACAATAATAATATGACTATCAAACCAACAATAATAGTATGACTATCAAACCCACAATAATAATAAGACTATCAAACCCACAATAATAAGACTATCAAACCCACAATAATAAGACTATCAAACCCACAATAATAATAAGACTATCAAACCCACAATAATAATAAGACTATCAAACCCACAATAATAATAAGACTATCAAACCCACAATAATAATAAGACTATCAAACCCACAATAATAGTATGACTATCAAACCCACAATAATACTATGACTATCAAACCCACAATAATAATATGACTATCAAACCCACAGTAATAGTATGACTATCAACCCCACAATAATAATATGACTATCAAACCCACAATAATAATATGACTATCAAACCCACAATAATAGTATGACTATCAAACCCACAATAATAGTATGACTATCAAACCCACAATAATAGTATGACTATTAAACCCACAATAATAGTATGACTATTAGTGGTTGTGCTAAGAGGTCCAGGTTTCTTCTAATCTGTTAGAACAATATCCATGACAACACTCCCTCCTTCCCTCTCTCTACATATTTCCTTACTCATCTCTATTCTTCCTTGCCTCCTTTGGTGGTTTATAAATTATCAATTTACAGTACGTTATTGTACTCTATTGTACTCTATTGTCATGAGCATTGCCAGCAGTTTTATCTGGTCACACAGACGTTCTGTAATGTTGGTAAATTATCCTGAAGTTGAGTAAATTCTCCTTTCCCCTATTTTCTGTATTTTATTTAGGAAACACGTGTTGGAGTCTGTGGTCTCTGTCCTCCCCTCTCTGTTCCTCTTTCAACCTTTCTAGTGTTCCCTTCTGTTGCTGAGGTGCTGACTTGGGTATGCTGTGAGTCATTTACTTTCGGTTCGCCCTTTTTCCACAAAAAGAGGCGCATACACACACATCACCCTTCAGTACTCACGGGAGTGTGAACACACACACACACACACACACACACACACATCATTGTCTTCATGGAAAGTCCTTGCACATACTATGGTTGAGGCCCAAAGTTCTTCCTGATCATTTCCATTGGTAAGGAAAAACTCAGGGCCCTAACCATAGCAGAGGCCTACAGTGGAACAGTAACACACAAACAACAACCCTCCATACACAATGACTATAAAATACTCACATATACAGGCCGCTGCCAGCATGCGGTTAGCCAGATAGGGTGCTATGCAGGTAGGGAAGACGGGCTGCACCATGTAGTTGGAGAAGGTGATGGCTATGACTGCCTGGCTAGTGGGCTCTATGATCAACAGGGACGTCCACAGCCTGATGAAGGCCAGGAACCCTCCGAAGGCCTCCAGGATGTAAGCATAACTGGCCCCTGACTTGGTGATGGTGGTCCCCAGCTCAGCGTAGCACAGGGCCCCGAACACAGAGAAGATACCGCCGATGGTCCACACTACCAGCGACAGCCCGTAGGAGGCGCTGTAGATTAAAACGCCTTTAGGCGAGACGAAGATGCCCGAGCCGATCATGTTGCCCACGATGAGACACACGCCGTTCAGGAGAGAGATCTCCTTCTTCAGCTTCATGGAATCGTTGTCGCCCCCTGAGCCGCCCGACTTGAGCGAGGGCGACCCGCCGTTGGTGGCGGGCTCTTGTGTGGGGGTGGGGCTGTAGGATGCCATTGCACTGGAAGTGTGGGGTGGAGGGGATGTGGGGAAGTAAGCAGTGATTGGACCAGGTGGCTGTCAATCAGTCAGTTAGAGGAGAGGATTGGTTGTCAGTTAAAGCTGAGTTGTAGAATTTTTCCAGCTATGAGGGTCCCTCTGGTGACATCTGTGGAGGAGAGAGACATAAAAAGTGTTATCAGAGAGTGTGGGGGTGTTGTCATGGAAACCAACCTGCTGTCCATATGGGCACAGTCATCAACTGGAACATAAAAAAAACGTACAGTTTGTTACATAAATGTTGGTCTGTATGCTACATTTTTAAAACATGAGGCTAAACTTAACTCATTGCAAAATAACACAAATGTTATAACACACACACACTACTGCTGGTTATTGGATTGGATTTTACAGATGGCAATTTGGGAGCCATTAGGGGTTTCGGTAAATGGCCTTTTAAGCTTGAGTGTATTGACAGAGTGGGAGAGAAAGGTAAACAGCCTGACATCACTGTAACGTTCATTACCGGCTATCACTGACTGTCACTGTCATATTTAGTCTATCACTGACTGTCACTGTAATATTTAGTCTATCACTGACTGTCACTGTCATATTTAGTCTATCATTTACTGTAAGCATTCTACAGTGTGACAGACACACAGAAACACAGAGACACAGAGAGACACACAGACACAGACACAGAGAGATACAGAGCGACACAGACACACAAAGACACGGACACACAGAGAGACAGACACACAGAGACACAGACACAGAGAGACAGACACACAGAGACAAAGAGAGACACACAGAGACAAGAGAGACACAGAGAGACACAGAGACACAGAGAGACAGAGAGACACAGACACACAGACACAGAGAGACACAGACATACAGAGCGACACAGACACACAGAGAGACAGACACACAGAGACACAGAGACAGACACACAGAGAGACAGACACACAGAGAGACATACACACAGAGAGACACAGACACACAGAGACACTTCTAGGAATCAGCAGCATGCTGAACAGAACGTCACGTTTTTCAAACTTCATTACCTTCAGCAGCATATATAGTAGAGTTTGAATGACTACACAGATGCTGTCTTAGTGTCCATACTGTATATCACACCTGCTGTCTTAGTGTCCATACTGTATATTACACATGCTGTCTTAGTGTCCATACTGTATATCACACCTGCTGTCTTAGTGTCCATACTGTATATCACACCATGCTGTCTTAGTGTCCATACTGTATATCACACCTGCTGTCTTAGTGTCCATACTGTATATCACACCATGCTGTCTTAGTGTCCATACTGTATCACCTCTTATGTCCTACTGTATATACACCATGCTGTCTTAGTGTCCATACTGTATATACACCATCGTTAGGTCACTTATCTGTCTTAGTGTCCATACTGTATATCACACCATGCTGTCTTAGTGTCCATACTGTATATCACACCATGCTGTCTTATTGACCATACTGTATATCACACCATGCTGTCTTAGTGTCCATACTGTATATCACACCATGCTGTCTTATGGTCCATACTGTATATCACACCATGCTGTCTTAGTGTCCATACTGTATATCACACCATGCTGTCTTAGTGTCCATACTGTATATCACACCATGCTGTCTTAGTGTCCATACTGTATATCACACACATGCTCAGTCAGGACCTAAACAAAACAACACACACATCACACTAAGTGAGGGGACAGGGCCACAGGGTCTACAGTTTATCCCCCGTCCCCCGTCCCCGGTACAAGAGCTTAAAGAAGTTGTTTTGGGGATCGAGGGGAGGGTAGGGGGTTGATTGAACGTTTTTTTATAGAACACAGGCCTGCACTTTAATGAACAATAATGCTGACAAAGTACTAGACTAGACAAACAACGCTTGACCAGTAGAGCAAGACAGGGGCTAATAAAACGACACAGAATAATGAATAAGACCAAAACACAACTAGGTCGGAAGGAAACTTCTACAGTAGAATGGTATCAATAAAGACAAGAATGAAGTAGATAGACACATAGATTGATCGGTAGAACTAGAACACCGGTACCAATAGAAGAACAAAACAATAGAATAAAACAGGTGGGAGTGAATGAGAGGTTGGTGATTGGAGGGGATGTGGGGAGAGTGAGCAGTGATTGGACCAGGTGGCTGTCAATCAGTCAGTTAGAGGAGAGGATTGGTTGTAAGAGCTGAGTTAAAGTCGTTTTCCAGCTATGAGACAGAGAGAATCAGAGTCATTTAGTCTATAGATCTGTGTGACTCTGGAGAAAATCCATCACAATACAATCAGTATACATCAACAAGTCAATCATAGGCAGTCACATCACAGGAAGAGAAAAGTGTTATCCTGACACAGAAAGTGAACACAGGTCCAATCACATCAACCAATGATAGATCAGAAAGATCAGGAAGAGTGAGATCAGATGAATACAGTAGAGAGGTAGGCTACAGATGTAGGATCTTAATTTGAACAGTATTGTCGCTGCAAAAGTAGGGGTGAGACGTGGGTGGGGGAGAGATGGAGAAGTAGTGCAGATAGATAGATAGATAGATAGATAGATAGATAGATAGATAGATAGATAGATAGATAGATAGATAGATAGATAGATAGATAGATAGATAGATAGATAGATAGATAGATAGATAGATAGATAGATAGATAGATAGATAGATAGATAGATAGATAGATAGATAGATAGATAGATAGATAGATAGATAGATAGATAGATAGATAGATAGATAGATAGATAGATAGTCCAGTGTAGCTCAGTTGGTAGAGCATGGCGTTTGTAACGCCAGGGTTGTGGGTTCGTTTCCCATGGGGGACCAGTATGAAAAAAAATATATAAAAATAAATAAAATATGTATGCACTCACTAACTGGAAGTCGCTCTGGATAAGAGCGTCTGCTAAAATAACAAAAAATAGATATATAGATAGCTAGATACCCCTGGCATGTGAGTTCAGTTCAAAAGAAGAAGTGATTTCGAAGGACAGTAGATAGCCTTCTGCACGTGATTACGAAGGGCAGAGCGGGAGGCGTTCAATTGAAGGCTACTGGAAGTGAGATACAAGGTCCAAGAAGGCTAAGATAAGTAAGCTACTCAAATTGACTATCATATACCACTCAAGATTGCTGTATCATATTTCTAACTAAACTATCACACACTCTCTCTCTTTTTTTCTCTCTCTCAGAATATGACAAGCTGGCAGCAATCATTTTGCCAACTCAGAGCTTATTCGTTGCAGAGCTGGCAAAGCTCCAGAGTTGACACAGCACATTTTATTGATGACCATGGGCTAGTAAGGCTACATAGCAATGCTATTAGAAGTTAATCTGTAGTGTAAAGACCTATCTCCTGAGAGAAAAACACATGTTGAACAGAGAGTCAAATGTACACTTACTACAGCCAAACGACAGTCTCTACATTTGAAAGATATAATACAAATGTAAAACCCTGCATTGTTACTGTATGTTAGGTTAGATGCATATTTAATTCAGGGGGTTTACCTTCTACGGATGCGCTATAGGTGAACTTGGCTTCCTTCCCTTGGGGGTCCTGTTGCAGTTCTTCTCTATAGCCTATGAGTCGCAGGTTTTTATTGAACGTTCATGTCAATTGCGCATCCCTCATTGTTTTACTCACTATCGCTCTCTGTGCGCGTTGTGCGCTCTCCACTGATGCCCTTCCCTTTGTGCCCGTGATGCCGCGTCCTCTGCTCTGACTTTGCGTCACCCACCCGGCTCGCCTTCCTGTCAGAGTCTGAAGGTGCACAGGCTGGTCAGCTGATGAACTTCTGTTTTTTGACCCAACAGCTACGAAGGAGACAGGTGGAAGAGGAGGAGGGATATAGCGGGAGGGAGAGAGGGAGAGAGGGATGGACTAACTTTATACCACTTTCTGGGCTCTGGTAATGGGTTTCGCTGTCTAATTAATTGCTTCCCATGAAATTGATTTATGCATTAACAGGCCTGATCACGTTCACAAGTTCACACATTCTTTCTTTTGTGGCAATTCAAATCAACATGACCCTTTAGTTCTTGTTTTATCCTACCTGTTGTTGGTGGTGATTGCTTTAGTTTTGGGCTATTATGTTAGGCCTTGATGTTGTTGATGATGATTCTTACTCGTCAATCATCTGGCGCGGAAGGAAGCAGCGTGGGAATCGAATGTATGATTAATCACTGAGAAATGATTAAAAGGATGTTGAGGACTCGGAGTCACTTAGAATGTAATCACTATCCTAACTTATTGTATGTGCCATGTGAGCATGTTTGAAACCGCTATATTATAAATAAATAAAATAGTTGCTTTTAAACACTGATGATATCATATTATGGTCAACAATCTTGACTCATGAGTCCCTCATGAGTTATGACACATAAGGAGATCGCTGCATTGCACAGTTGGAATTGATGAGGAATCCCAAAATACGTTACATAGCCCCCTCCTGTGGACATTATTTGCTTCACGCGTCCAATTCTTCAACGTTGGCAACGGTTTGAGCGCTTCATTACATAATTATGCTTATTGTGGTATTTTGCTTTTGTGTTGAGTGTTCCTGATTGGCAGAGCTTGTTCTAAATGTACATTTAAATGACCCATTTCATCATCTAGACAATCAATCAATTAACATTAGTTTTGGAACATTTGATTTTGACACTTCACATTGTTCAGGATCGTTGATGATAAAATTATTATATTAAAGGCACGCCATTAACACACTGTGAAGTTCCTGTGAAGATACTAATAAAGCATCTGGTGAATATCTTTAGGTATGCCATCAACAGCTTGTTGATCAAGTACACTAACCCAATCCACACCTGTAATCACTCAACATTTACATTTCACATTTACATTTTAGTCATTTAGCAGACGCTCTTATCCAGAGCGACTTACAGTTAGTGAGTGCATACATTTTCATACTGGACCCCCGTGGGAAACGAACCCACAACCCTGGCGTTGCAACTCTATACACCCTCCTCCTTCCCTCTCAAACCCAACCACCCAACAATCATCCCTGCCTCACTTTCTAACTTCACTTTTTTGATGTCTCTGTCTCACTCCCAACACATGGACAAACTTCTCACATATGGCATGTCTTTCAGCCCTTTGTCTCTTCCCCTTTCTGCTCCCAAATTCCTCTCCTTGGTTACCGGTTGTCATGGTTTTGGGAGCCCCAGCTAGTGGGAAGGTGGTTGGAGGATTAAGGCAGCCATTTTGGGGACAGCTAGCCCAGGTCTCTGTGTGTGCTGCCCCCTGTCCTGCTCACAGTCGCATAGGAGGGATGAGGGCTATCATTGTGTGAGGATTAGCGCTTCCTGTGTGTCGGACTATTACACTAGGAGGGGGAGGACAGAGAGAGTGGGGAAATGAAAGAGAAAATGAAAGAGCGAGTATGAAAGAGAGTATGACAGAGAGTAAGATGTGGGGGTGAGGGGGGGGCTCTACAGCTGCACTCTGAATCACACAAGCACTGATTATCCCTATCACACACACACACACACACACACACACACACACACACACACACACGCACACACCACAGAACACAGGAACTGAAACATAGAAAAAGAAAGTGAGGCCAAAAAAAGGCAGAATAAGTAGACAGATATAGCACCCAGACAAAGGAACTGAGGCAGACAGTCAGACACAGAGCACTGAGACAAACAGCGAGAGTACACTCAGACATACAGAACATGTTGACATGCAAGCAGAATACTTAAACAGATCAATGAATGGACTGAGACCAGCTATGCTGAGACAGAAACACTGTGACAAACAATTTACAAAGCCAGACACACTGACAACCAAAAAGCACTTTCTTCCACCATCACCATCATTTTATTTTTTCTTTACATCAAAAAATGGGAAGCACATGTTATCATCATAACTACAAAAACAATGGCTGGGAAAAACCATACGAAGGCTAAAAAAAAAAGTACAACAACTAAACTGATCTAATGTAGGATACAGTGCAGACAATTCATGCAGGACAGAAAACTTGAACTCTCAAGTGCTTTGAGAGAGGAGGAGAGGGAGAGAGATGGTAGAGGAGGAGAGAGGGAGAGAGATGGTAGAGGAGGAGAGAGGGAGAGAGATGGTAGAGGAGGAGAGAGGGAGAGAGATGGTAGAGGAGAGGGCCCGTCGCGAGTGGATGCAAACGCGCGGTTCCGGTAGAGCTAGGACGCGTAGAGAGAGTTGAGGCGAGAGCGCGCGACGAGAAGCGAGAGATCAGAAGCGCGAGCGAGAGATAGAGAGAGAGAGAGACACAGAGATAGAGGGGAGAAAAGAGAGGTTTAGTCTAGAAGAGACGATAGAGAGAGAGAGAAGAGAGAGATAGAGAGAGAGAGAGGTTAGACAGAAAGAGAGAGAGAGAGAGAGAGACATGGAGGGATGAGGTAAATCTATCAGACATCATTCATCCTGGTCCTTGGGAGGTTCAGTTGGTTTATACACCACATTCAGCTATTCTAGCCCGGTACCCAAACTTCACAACAGTGAAACATAGCACAATCTGTTTGAATTCCAGGCTACTTCAATATGTCCCTGTGCAGAGATAACCAATCAATTGTGGATAAACCGATTACAATCACTGATATAGGTAATTGTTTTTCATGTCTAAAGTTGCTGCTGTATGGTCAATCATAAAGGCAGGAACCAGGATTGCCAACATACATTGTATATACGGGCTGGTCAGTGTAACACAATCATCGTCAGTATCATCCGCATTTTCACTATCATCATCTGTTTCAATGGATGTATGGACAGCAATGTACAAAGTCAGTGCAACTCCATTGAAACAACAGTACAGCAGCAATACAGTTAAAAAAGTGAAAAGTATGTAAAAATAATAATAAACATACAAATAGTAACCATGGTTAATATATATACTGAACAAAAATATAAACACAAATGCAACAATTTTTCTGAGTTACAGTTCATATAAGGAAATCAGACAATTGAAATAAATAAATTAGGCCCTAATCTATGGATTTCACATGACTGGGCATAAGCCAACCCACTTGGGAGCCAGGCCCAGCCAATTAGAATTTGTTTTCCCCACAAAATAGATTTATTACAGACAGAAATACTCCACAGTTTCATCAGCTGTCCAGATGGCTGTTCTCAGACAATCCCGAAGGTGAAGAAGCCAGATGTGGAGTTCCTGGGTTACACGTGGTCTGTGGTTGTGAGGCCGGTTGGACATTATATTTTAGTCATTTAGCAGACGCTCTTATCCAGAGCGACTGACAGTTAGTGAGTGCATACATTTTTCATACTGGCGCCCCGTGGGAAACGAACCCACAACCCTGGCATTGCAAGCACCATGCTCTACCAACTGAGCTACACGGGACATACTGCCAAATTCTCTAAAACAACATTGGAGGCGACTTATGGTAGAGAAATGAACATTAAATTATCAGCTCTGGTGGACATTCCTGTCAATTGCATGTTCCCTCAAAACTTCAGACATCTGTGGCCTTGTGTTGTATGAGAAAATGGCACATTTTGAAGTGGCCTTTTATTGTCCCCAGCACAACGCGCACCTGTGTAATGATCATGCCGTTCAATCAGCTTCTTGATATGCAACACCTGTCAGGTAGATGGATTATCTTGGCAAAGGAGAAATGCTCACTAACAGGGATGTAAACAAATTTGTGCAATTTTTTTTAGAAATTAGCTTTTTGTTCTTATGGAACATTTCTGGGATATTTTATTTCAGCTCATGAAAGATGGGACCAATAGTTTACACGTTGCGTTTATATTTTTGATCAGTATACATAGAAACTGCCACTACTGCACTGGCCTGTTTTGGTATAGTGTTCGTACCATATATCCTAGAGTGATATTCCACCTTTTTCTCCTTCACCTCATTCCTATTCCACAATTAAAAGAGGAATTTCATTCATATGTTTGACTAGAACTAGCTGTAAAACATACTTATCTAGTCTATTACCATCCAACACACGAACGTCACTGTGTGCCATTACACTACAAGATAATTCTGTGACATCATATCATCAAATAAGGCCTCTTCGTGTTCTTTGAGATAGTGGTATCGTAACCATGCCGAGATGCCGACTGAATTAGTACTTCACAACAATCTAACATTCTATTATAGACAAAATAGACCGAACTGACTAGTAGCAAAATTACACAGAATAACAATCAATCTTTATAGAATCAATTATAATTCTATGATGAAAATACATTCCCTTGTCAGGGGCCTTTAATAAAAAATTGACTGACACCATTCAGCAGCCAATCATATGCCTTTTTACTCAGTAGTGTTCGCAGGTTGCTCTGCTTCCTCCCCAGAACCAGCAGTGATTGGCTGATCTTCTAAGGTAACAAGTTTCTCAGGAGATTTGGCCAATCGTTCCTTTTCATCCTTCTCTCCAGTGTTCCCATTGGCTGAGAGAGAACTCGGATCCTCCACAGTGTCATTGGTCAGGGTGGCGGGAGGAGAAGTCTCGGTGGGGACGTTGGTCAACACAGGGTGTGTCTTCATGTGTCCCTGTTGATGGAAACACAGAAAAATAGTATTGGTTAAGTAATCAATCATTTTAATTAGAATATATTTGCTAGCATGAAAACACAATAAAACATGAGAAATAGCCAAATCTCAAGAATCACAATTTAGCTTCTGTCAAGTGTTCTGTATATCCATAGGAACGTATGGTTCTAATACGATCTATCCTTATCTTATGTTTACCTTTAATCCACTGCGGCTGGCGTATGCCTTCCCACACATGGTGCAGGAGTAGGGTTTGGAGGGCGTTGAGGCTGGGGTGGCTAGCTGGGAGGCCTCTGGTACCTTTGGAGCCCTATCGCTCTCCTCTGTGGAGCTAGGGGTCTCCTTCTCACTCTCAAGCCCCATTACTGATGAGGTATCTCTGGGTGCTGTGCCCTCGCTCTCCCCTTCAGATTGGGCCACCTCCCCTTCAGGACTGGGCTCCTGTGGGGTGATACTGGAGGCCTGGGGGGCTGGCTCTGGAGCTTCTTTAGGGGGAGGGGGTGAGGGTGGTAGGGATGGGGTGAGGGTGGCAGGGGAGTTCAGGGTGGATTCAGATTCAAGGCTGAGGAGGAGTCCATCTGGAGAGTTGGTCTGGTTCTCTGTGGTTGACCCAGAGCCGTTAGTGAGCCCTCCTGACCTACTGCTATCAGTATCCACACCTGGTCTGGGGGGACAGAGGGCGAGAGGGACGTTTTCCTTCTCCTCTGCCTCACCCTTCACCACTGAGGCGGGCTGGGAGCTGGTCGCGGATGGTCGCCTACTTGGGCTGGTGTTAGAGAGGTCAGCTGGGGAGTCTTGCGAGTCTTCTATGGAGGCTCCAGCGGGGCCGTCGTCAGACTCAGATCTTTGCCCCAGGAGCATGGGGTCTTCTGGGGAGGGATTATGGGTCAGAGGTGGGCTAATGCTGGCTGTTGAGGGTGAGGGTTCAGACTCTCCCTCTATATGGGGGCTCGGGTCAGCTGCATGGGATTCCTTGGTCGCTGGCCCTCCTGAGTCCAAGCTGCTGACCAGCAGGTTAGGGTTAGAGATGGAGCTGGTCATTGATAAGGCCATGGGTTGGAGGCCTTGAAGGCAGGGTTTGGATGGAGAGGCTGTGGTCATTTGGCTCAGATCAGTGGGATCCTCTTGGGGCATATTTGGGCCTTCCTCCCCCTCTCCCCCCGGGGGTATCTGACCACCCAGGTGCATGCGGATGTGTTGCTGCAGCACCAGGGCATTGGTGAACTTGCGCGGGCACAGCGGGCAGGAGTTCTGGGTGCGGGAGTTGGCCGGACGGGCGCGGTGGGTGGCGAGGTGGGCCCTCAGGCTTCCCTTAGTGGAGAAGGAGCGTCCACACAGCTTACAGGGGAAGGGGCGTTCGCCCAGGTGAGTGGCCTGGTGGAGACTCAGGGCCCTGGGGCAGGAGAGCACCCGCAGGCACACACCACACTGGTTAGGGGCCAGGGCGGGATTGGTGGATCCTGGGAGATCCTGTCCCTGGCTGTTGCTGCTCACCATGGCCCCAGGGTTGGGGTTGAGGCCCAGCGCTGCCATCATCTCCCTGCGGTAGGCGTTGGAGCTGGTGGTCAGGTCATGGCCGTGGGTGTCCCTGTTTGAGGAGCCGTCTGCTTGGCCGCAGGAGGACGACTGGCCCCCTCCCTGGTGCTGCTTCTCCAGTGTCATGACCAGCCGCTGCAACTTGGAGGTGTCGGAGGTTTGGGTGAAGGAGGACGAGGGGGAGGACGTCTGGGGTTTGGAGTAGGGAGGGTAGGGGAGCTGGGAGGCAGTGGTGTGGGTCCCTGGGGGACAGAGGAGGGCAAGGTGGTGGGGCGAGGGTCCTCCGGGGAAGAGGATCTTGGGGAAGTGGGCCAGCTGGGAGTAGGGGGAGCCTGGATGGATGGTGGAGTGTGGAGGGGTGTTCTCATCAAACCTCTGCTGCTTCACCCCTTTGAACTGGCCACCCATGGAGGATGATGATGATGATGATGAAGGTAACACACTACCCGAGGCGCTGGCTGCTGCAGCGGAGGCCCTGTTCAGCTGTAGCAGGGAGTGAGCCGTGGACAACAGCGCCATGTCCATACTGGGTGGCATAGGTATAGATGATGGGGAAGGCCGAGGAGACGCCCCAGACAGGAAACTGAGCGCCATTCCTTCTGTCATTCCTTTCACGCCACCGAACGGTGGCTCCTCATCTTCCGCCCGGCGCTTCCTGCGTCTCTGGCCTGCGGTGGTGGCGACAGGAGCGGGCTGCTCCAGAGCCGGAGGGAGCAGCGAGAGCGACAACTCCGGGTTCTGCTCACGGTGGCGCAGGAAGTGGGCCTTGAGGTTCCCGCGGGTGGTAAAACGGCTGAGGCAGACAGGACAAAGGTATGGCCTCTCCCCCGTGTGGGAGCGCAGGTGGATTTGTAGCGAGGAATCGCTGCTCAGGACCTTACCACAAAACTTACAGGCATGCTGTGGACGCCCTGCAGATGAGGACCCGGCCGAGGAGGAACTGGACAGCAGCAGGTTGTCCTGGGAGTGGCTGGTCGTGGGGAGGGGCGGGGTGGGGAAGCTGACCCCGTTGCTGTGGCCGAACAGGGAGGTGTTGGAGGATTTCTCATGGAGATAGCGCGGGGGTAGACCCAGGGACAGAGGATGCATGGAGGAGGCTATCGAGGAGCTCCAAGTGGTGGAGGGCGAGGTAGAGTGTGGTGCTCTGGTCCCATTACTGTGAGAGGAGAGGCTGGGCTTGGTGACAGTAAGCTGGGGGAGGAGGGAGGGGAGGCAGGCCAGGAGAGGGGAGGCCGAGGATGGGACAGGGGCTGAATAGGGATGGTGTGTTGGGGAGGGGGATCCTGCTGTGGATCTTTGGTGGTTCTCTCCACTACCAGCCTGGGAGGTGTCTTGGGTATAGATGGCTCCTCCTAGCCGGAGAACATGCCTACAGATCTCCTCGGTCATCTGCATCTGGTGGATCTGCCTCTGCTGTAGCACCCTCAGCTCCTCCAGGACCACAGCCAGGGTCAGGGGCACCTGGATCTGGCCTTGCCCCGGCACCGGGGGGCTGGAGCCGTTCTGATGCCCAGGACTGGTGCTCTCCTGGCGGGGAGGGAGGGAGGAGGACAAGGAGGAGGTAGTGGTGGTGGCAGAGCTGCCCATCTGTGGTGAGGTCATAGTGGCGTGGGAGTGGGCCTGATGGGAGAGGGTGTGGCCCGATGTCTGATTGAGGTTGAGTGGCAGGGATTGGGTCTGGGAGGATAAGGAGGGGTGAGGGAAGTCTGGAGAGAGGGATGAGTGGGTGTTGGGGAGGGAGGTGGTATAGGGGGCGATGTGGCTGGGCCAGTGGGGGGGCGAAGAGCTCTCGCTGGGGAGGGAGGGTGCGTGGAGACCCCCAGGTGACGGCCGAGGGGCCAGGGGGGGCTGGCGATCTTCGAGGGAGGTGGGGGAGGACGATGAGGACCCAGAGGAGGTCAGTTCGGAGCCCAGAGACGTGGACGGTGACTTTGCTGACAGCTGGTCGTCTATGGACAGAGAGAGAAAAACAAGGATTAAGACTAGTGCCTTTTCATCACTCTATTCAACCAAATGAAAAGTTCAGTTTCATGATCAAATTCATTGTTGATGTTAAGTCCCTATAAGAATCATGAAAGACCGGGTGCAAGGCTGCATGCTCTATGGAATTGAAGTGGGGGGTCAACTTAAGTCCAAAAGTCCAAACCTTTAAGTGTAATCATTGATTACAACAATTGTTTCATATTTCAATCCCAATCTTAAAGTTGCAGTCTTCTCCTGTAAAGCAATGCATTAGCAGATATTGATTAATAGTCTACAAACAAACAGAGTCACAGTCGTTCCCTCTTCATGATATTATCTTGTCTTCTGTCTACTTCCTCTTCCCTGAGCAAAACTCTCCAAACGTATTCTTCCCACACAAAAGCTTGCAGACCACCTTGCTGCTATGACAACATGTTTAAATGGACAATGGCCATCTTCAAGACAACCCATAACCCCTCTTAACCCATCCCTCACTCCTTTCATCTACCTATTCACCCTTCCCCCTCTGACGTCACATCAGGGGTCAGAGGTCGGGACACGCTAAGGGTACTGGGCGCTGTCCAGAAGCTTGTGATTGGTCTGCTCATCTGACCTTTAGAGCTCTGGGGTCAAATTCTTTCAGAATCTTGAGCACAGAGTGAGAGAGAGAGCGAGAAAAGAAGGGGGAGGGGGAGGGAGTATGGACAATGGAAAGACTAACTATTCCCTCCCAGAAGGACATAGTGATGGAATGAATGACTGTACTACTCGCTGCTGCTAAATAGTCTATCTTGGTTCTCTTCACAGACATCAAGTTGATCTCTATGGAAATGTATCTGTAGAACTTCTAATAAGTTATTAGTATTTTCTAAGGTGTAGAAAATGTTAAATGCAAGTGAAGGTGCAAGCATTCTGCATACACCCCCCCCTAAAATATTTTACACACCAAGTCAATAGAGCAGGAGGGGGTAGAGAGGGAGGGAAGCATTCAGTGAGCATTGAGAGGGTAGAAAGGTGGTGAGAACAAGTAGGAAAGGAAACATGAGGGACAAAAGCAAGGAGAGAAGAAGAGAATAGAAGCAGAGAGAATGAGCGATATTTACCAAAAAGACCCCCTCCAGCTCTCTTTCCCCCCCACTGATCCAGCCTTATTGTTGATGAATAGGGAGACTGTCATCTAAGTAATGAAAGACCTCCAGTAGTCAGCCCTGAGCAGCCTGTTAGTTTCCTAGAGGACTAAACATCACAGGAAAATGGTCACAGATGGGTGTTATCAACCAGGCCACAGGGACAAGTTTACAGGGCCAGCCCTCAAGTACCTGGGACTCGGACTCCACTACTGGGGCCCATTGCAGACTGCAATCCACTAAACGAACTTATTGCAAGAGGATATGACTTTTTGCCATTATAAAATATGCAAACAAAGAACCAAAATGCAAAGATCAAGTTATGCTGATGATTGGTCACCTGAGTAAAATGACTTTTTAGATGTGAACGGTAACATTTTAGGAGGAATTTACATAAAATGTAACAAAATAAACAAACTTTGACTTTAAGCCTACTCTCGTAGCAGGATTTTAACTGCAGTTTCTGCAAACAAGGTTATCTTATAACGTTACCTTGTTTAACCCTATTGATCATCATCATAGTTGTAAATTCCGACCTGTAACTTTGTTTGTTGATTCATTCATATAACTATGGGAAATATCCTAGAAATAAAAACAGACGCATGCCTTAGAATAACCATAATAAACTTTTCTCACCGTGCGATAGTATCCGCGTGCCCCCCTGGTCCGAGTTAACTAGCTGCTGGGGTCGTTTCTGCTTCCGGCGTGACATGATTCACGAGGAGACTGAGAGAAGGGGGGCATTCGCCGAATAAATAACACTGGCCACTTTACGCACTTGTAGGCTTCACGTTCCAGAATCCAAACTCACATTTCAGGAAAATTAGAATTTCTAAATTGCATCTAGATAACGCTATAGAACGTTGGTCCCTTGCATGGAGAAAAACAAAGAGGGGTAGAAATCCGTATAAATGCACCGTCATATGAGGCTGCCTGGAGTGCGTGTGTGGCTGTTTTTCTAAAGTAGCCTCTCTCGCTGTCCAAAACTTGCGCCACACCTCCCCCGCTCCCCTACGCTGGCACACACAAACAGAGACACACAACCTCTTCTTGTTCCTCACTGATATTTGCATTTCAATGGCGCGGAACACAGACTCCCTGGTTCTCCCTTTTCTCTGTGTTTTGCGTATTTTCTCCACGCCATCACTAAACTCTCAATCAAAGATCATCCTGGGTGTTAAAATCCACATGAATAAATCAAAGTAGCATATTACTTTACTTGTTACATGTTGTTTGAACCCATTCAACTAGAATTTGTTGATTTACTTTCTGAGGTTTTGCCGAGATTACTATTAATTATTTTTGGCATAACATTTGGGGAAATTAAGTGATAGCAAAAAATACTTATAGCATAAGTTAATAACAAATTCAGAATCTTAAACAAATAAGACTAACGTTACATGAATAGCTATTTGTATTTTAAGTAATTTATCCTTGTATACTCAACAAGAGGTCAAGAGACAAGGAAATAATAATAGCCTTATCATTGCTTGCAATATATATATGATCATTATGTGCTAAATATTCACGGGGAGGGCAAGGGGGATCATGACAGTCTATGGGTCCACCATTGCAGAATGAATGGGACGCATTAGCACACAGATTTACATATGGCTAATTATCAACAAAGAGGTGGTGTGAGAATGTTGAGGCGGATCCATCCATTCCGCATCAGAACATGCATGTATTCCATTACATGTGATCCTACGCACTGACCCATCCTTATGCCAGTGTTCTGGTGCGCAGGCAGAGCTCTATTTAAAAATCAGAGAATAGATGGGAATCTGCGACAATGGCGCACTGAACACAGTTGAGAGAGCATCTCTTCACTCTCAATATGAACCCCCGGATCCAGTGCTGCTCAAGCGCAATGCCCCTCTTCCAACCCCCGATTTTACATTTTACATTTTAGTCATTTAGCAGACGCTCTTATCCAGAGCGACTTACAGTTAGTGAGTGCATACATCCTGTAACACGTGGAGGAGGGAGGGAAAAAAGGAAAAACAATTAAGCAGGTGTCTCACATACTGTACATGACATGTCACACTCAATGCATGACGACAGGAAAGAAAAGCAACTGGCAACTTAAATGGAAATAAAATAATTGCCTGTATTTCTTGCATTAAAAACAATGATTGCACAAAGATTTCTCTGCATTAAACTCATGCACCAAAACGGTAGCATTACCTGTATATTAAATTAATTAAGCATGTCAAAAGTTACCCAGAAAAAGCAACTAGTAAAAATGGATGCAAAAAATGATAACTTTGACACCATTCAACTTGTAATAAGCTAATACTTTTTATTATTATTAACATTTTATTACTTTTAGTTAAATTAGTACTACTACATAAAAGTCTAAAAACGTTTGTAAACTAGAAATATGTATTATATTATATAATAAAGGGCCTATTTGATTGGCCCCTTGAAATGACTAGCTAGCCAATTAGAATTTTAATTCAGCCGCTTCAAGATGTGTAGCTAGCTAGCTAGAAAAACTTATAGCATCAAAACATTTCTCAAATGTCTGACTTTCAGCCATTGAAACAGGTAAGTTAGCTAAACCCAATGACTGTTGTGCAGAACTCGAGTTTTATAGAGTTGTAGCTATTTTTTTTTATATACAAAGGGGGTAGATCAGCTTTAATATTGCAGCTAGATTGTAGCTTCCATCAATCTAATAGTCTGCATCATTCCAATCCCCCATATATTTTTATATATTTTTTATTACATATACATATATATTTATATATATATATATATACACTACCGGTCAAAAGTTTTAGAACACCTACTCATTCAAGGGTTTTTCTTTATTTGTACTATTTTCTACATTGTAGAATAGTAGTGAAGACATCAAAACTATGAAATAACAAATATGGAATCATGTAGTAACCAAAAAAGTGTTAAACAAATCAAAATATATTTTATATTTGAGATTCATCAAATAGCCACCCTTTGCCTTGATGACAGCTTTGCACACTCTTGGCATTCTCTCAACCAGCTTCATGAGGTGGTCACCTGGAATGCATTTCAATTAACAGGTGTGCCTTCTTAAAAGTTAATTTGTGGAATTTCTTTCCTTCTTAATGCGTTTGAGCCAATCAGTTGTGTTGTGACAAGGTAGGGGGGTATAGAGAGGATAGCCCTATTTGGTAAAAGACCAAGTCCATATTATGGCAAGAACAGCTCAAATAAGCAAAGAGAAACGACAGTCCATCATTGCTTTAAGACAAGAAGGTCAGTCAATACGGAATATTTCAAGAACATTGAACGTTTCTTCAAGTGCAGTCGCAAAAACCATCAAGCGCTATGATGAAACTGGCTCTCATGAGGACCACCACAGGAATGGAAGACCCAGAGATACCTCTGCTGCAGAGGATAAGTTCATTAGAGTTACCAGCCTCAGAAATTGCAGCCCAAATAAATGCTTCACAGAGTTCAAGTAACAGACACATCTCAACATCAACTGTTCAGAGGAGACTGTGTGAATCAGGCCTTCATGTTCGAATTGCTGCAAAGAAACCACTACTAAAGGACACCAATAAGAACAAGAGACTTGCTTGGGCCAAGAAACACGAGCAATGGACATTAGACCGGTAGAAATGTGTCCTTTGGTCTGGAGTCCAAATTTGAGATTTTTGGTTCCAACCGCCGTGTCTTTGTGAGACGCGGTGTGGGTGAACAGATGATCTCCGCATGTGTATTTCCCACCGTAAAGCATGGAGGAGGAGGTGTTATGGTGTGGGGGTGCTTTGCTAGTGACACTGTCTGCGATTTATTTAGAATTCAAGGCACACTTAACCAGCATGGCTACCACAGCATTCTGCAGCGATACGCCATCCCATCTGGTTTGGGCTTAGTCGGACTATAATTTGTTTTTCTACAGGACAATGACCCAACACACCTCCAGTCTGTGTAAGGGCTATTTTACCAAGAAGGAGAGTGATGGAGTACTGCATCAGATGACCTGGCCTCCACAATCCCCCGACCTCAACCAAATTGAGATGGTTTGGGATGAGTCGGACGGAAGAGTGAAGGAAAAGCAGCCAACAAGTGCTCAGCATATGTGGGAACTCCTTCAAGACTGTTGGAAAAGCATTCCAGGTGAAGCTGGTTGAGAGAATGCCAAGATTGTGCAAAGCTGTCATCAAGGCAAAGGGTGGCTATTGGAAGAACCTCAAATATAAAATATATTTTGATTTGTTGAACACTTTTTTGGGTACTACATGATTCCATATGTGTTATTTCATAGTTGTGATGTCTTCACTATTATTCTACAATGTAGAAAATAGTAAAAATAAAGAAAAACCCTTGAATAAGTAGGTGTTCTAAAACTTTTGACCGGTAGTGTATATATATATATATATTTTTTTTTTTTTTTTTTCCTTTATTATTTTCCCCTAACCCTACCACCCCTCCCCTAATTGGAGTAAACTAACGGACAACAACACGTAGGCTTCTACTTCAAGTTTATACATACAAAATAAATGTTTATGGACACAGTGTATTTTACAATAGTTATCTATTGTTTGTTTTTAATCCCATCCTTCAGCTACACTCAACCCCTCCCATCTATCTCTGAAGAACATCCAGTTTTGATTTCTATTTGCCATATATTTTAACCGTGCTATTTCACAAAAGTTCTGAACCTATATACATTTTCCAGACACAGTATATTTTACATTAGTTATCTTGTTGTTTTCAGTCCCACCCTTCAGCTCCACTCAACCCCACACATCTATCTCTGAACACCATCCAGTTTTGATTTCTAATTTGCAATATATTTTTCAACTGTGCTGTGGTGTTTCACAAAAGTTCTGAACCTTTCTATTCTCATAGTTTTTACAGATAGTTAATTAAAGATACAACTGTTTTCTAAAAGTATTATTATATTATTGATCGATTGACTATGACTTTTCAAATCACCCAGCAGTGCTATTTGCAGAGTTAGCTCCAGGTAATTGTTGCAATTCTTCAGCCGCTCCTGAACCTGCGACCAAAAACAAGCTACCAAAACAGTACCAAAACAAATGATATAATGATTCGGTCTCTTCGCAGCAAAATCTGAGTTGTAGCTATTAATTTCATAAAGAAACTCTAGTGCTAGAGAGCTCTTTACCTATGTGGAGAGACAGTTAGCTAGCTAACTAGCTAGCATGCTGCTATGCTAAGGATGGCTGTGTTTGGTTGCATCATAGGGATAGATAGAGGACTCATATTTATATTTGTGCCAATATAGCGTCTGTGACAGCATGGGCAGCGCCATTGAGGCTACAACCCATAGGAATCCCCACCCAATTCATTACTTTAATGGTAGTGGCGGAAGCCCTCAATGGCTCTGCCCATGCTAAAATAGCCTTTTGACCAGTAGAGGCCTCTATCATTCCCTATGGGTTGCATACAGCATCAATCTCTGTATGAAGTAAATGGGCGCGTTTGACATTGCAGCCGACTTGAAAGGCGAGTCGAGACTGACTGATCTACAAATGACCTTGCATCATAAATAACTACTCAACATGATTTGTAGATCAGTCTGTCACTCACAATTTATCCATGATACATCATGGGTTTGATGCTCTCGAACACGGCCAATGTCTCTGAAGTTTCATTCAGATATAACCCCAGTGGCTCTTGACCCCGACAGCAATGTCTATGTGCAACGACAGTCTGCTCTGCAACTACCCGAAGTGTCGGGTGAAGCTGTGTGGG